AATGCTCTGTTTGAGTGCCCTGCTGGACTGGTACCCTAGCCTTGTCCCCGGTGCTGGCTGGGATTCAGGTCCCCACATGGCTGCTACAAACGGAAGATAGATGAACATTTGGGGTTAACAAAAAGTTTCCTACAGCCCAGCATCCTGTTTAATGAAATTGTGAAGAAATGGAGCATCATCTCACGGTAGTAGGGAGCTGTTTTGGAAAGTTGTCCTCTGCTATCTCTTCGCTTTTCATGCTTTTCCAACAAAAATAAACAAGCACACCTGTCTGAATGCACAGGGCAAAGGAATTCAGTGGCCTTCCGCAATCTGTCACCTGTGGCTGAGCCGCGGTGATTAACCAGGGAGAACAGCAGCGTCTGAGGGGAAGCCCCCCCCCCGCTCCGCATATGAACCCGGGGCTGTGCCAGCTGGAGAGAGGGAGGCCACCTCGGACCCCGGGGGGGAGCAGGGTGGCATTGGGTCAGCTCTCTGATTGCCTCAGTTTTTCACTGCAGATTTATGTAAGATGTTTTTCCAGTTCCCTGCTAATGAACCTTATGTACGACCCAAGTGTCAGAAGGCCTCATCTGAGGTGCTGAAAAAACAAAAGGAAACAGTCAATTCTGTGCATGTGTGTTTGTTTGCTTGTTTTAGGGGTGCATAAATGTGGTTTATAAAAGATACAAACTGATCATCATACATACACTGATCATCATTCATTATTTGTGTTCCACAGCATTCCATTTGGATTTCCACAGTCTTCAGGATTTGTCTTTGTTTTTTTTTACATACACAGATATGGTGTATGACACTTATATCTCTCTTCAGGCTCCTTCTGCGCACTTTCAATCCCTTACCCCTGTAATTACATCCCCAATACGCCGGACGTTTTCCTGTTCCCACACCCAGTTGCATGAAGTTTGTTCCTCCTTCCACCAAAGCATGGCTGTTGAGGATGATTCCCCAATAGGGAGAAGATCCCCGCTGGAACCCCTAAGGGATGGAGGCTCCTCAGCTCCGTCACGCCCGATTCCCAGCCATGAGACATAGTCCTCCGGCTGATGCACCTCCAGTGTCGTAATTCTTCTTGGCCACAGCCTAAGGCATCAGCCTGCTGACAGTTAAATCTGCATAATAGCTGCCTTGCAGCCAGGGAACACGAATCCAGGAAGGCAGAAGTGCTGCCTGGGTGACAGGGCTGGGCTCCACGGCAGCGGCTGCTTTTATGAGATCCTTTCATTACTGCACGTTCTCTCATGGCCTTTGCCTCCAGACATCGCGCCATTTCAGGAGCTTCTCCGGGTCCCGTTTGTCGCTTGGCTTTTGGTTTCTAATTACCTACTCAGTGAATATGGCAGCGTGGGAGCTTAACAGAGAGTTTCCTTCCTTGAAGACCTTTGTCAAGTAAAACAGCTCTTAACATGACTCCGGGTCGCACGTCCGGCCGGAACACCCTCGCGGATGAAAGCTGTGATGTGATCGACCCGCCCCAGTGTGAGCTCGTTAGGGAAGGGCTGCTGGTACAGTTATGTGTTTGTTCTGATGTATACGGACACACCAGTTCAGGTTCCAGCAATTTTAAAAACATATTCTTCATCATTTTTCGCGCTTAATTAGCACGGAAGTCACCACAGGGCAGGCCTCCTCTTTTAGACGAGCCGGTTTGACGCAAAGATCTCGGGCGCGGTGACAGCTGCTTAGCGTGGCTTTAAGTGTGAACATCAGATTTTCAGGTTGGCGTCACCCAACTGCAGGAATATGTGGACAGGGTGGGGGGGGCGGAAGAGGAAGGTTATATATCAGGGGCCTGCGATGGCTTTGATTTCCAGACTCATTCTGGGAGAGAGGGGATGGGGCGGAGGTGAAGGGATGGGTGGTCTGTGTGAAGCTCTGCCTTCCAGAACAGTCCGAGCCGCGCTCAGGATCCCGTGCCAAGCCCCGCTGTGTTTCCTGCCATTTTCTGCCGGTTGTTCCCCTTTGCCATGCATCTGGGAAGCACGGAGGAGGCGGATTTGCTCCCGGATTATAAAGCGCGGCGGCCCGCCTGCACGGGTAGGAGGATGGCGATCATGCGTGAAGCCCGATATCCGCGTCCTTAATAGCTGCCCCCGTCAGCCCCTCACTCCGGGGGGCTCCCGTCCCTCACATGCCGTTAAAAAGGGGTGTTTGTTAAAAAGGACAGACTTGGGTGACAGATTTCACGTATCCCCTCTGGTAATTAGCCGGCGATCAGAAATACACGGAGCAGGCAAATGCAAGATGCGTGTTTTCTGCCTCATCCCAGCAAGACTCCCATGCAGACAGAAACTCATCTGAAAATTTTCACCATGGGGATCATCTGATGGGCACAATAATAATAATAATAATAATAATAATAATAAAATAATAACAACAACAACAACAATTACACAATGACACAGAGTACAACGGCCCACACAAAAAAATAACTATAAGCCTTCATGAAACTATAGTTTATTCTTTTAATTCTCCTCCCTCTATTAGCACTAGTAGCATTATTAATATAATACATCAGTTAGTAATGAATGGTGTTGGACAATGGGAGCTAATTAGTAGTAGTTCAACAGTTATTAAATAAGCTAAATCTTGCTGCAATCCACTTTGTTGGCATAAATGTTGCATGTCTGACATTTCACTCAGTATCTAGCATTTCACCTTTTTACCACAATTAGTTATTTAATCAAATTGTTCGTTGGCAGCCCTGACACCTCAAGTCTTTACAGAAAAAAAACTATTTTTTCCATATTTATGTTTGTTTATCCTACAGGATTATCTCGCCCGTTTCTTTAGTCACCATCAGAAATTACGCTGTGTTGACTGAGGCGAGATGAGCTGTTTCATAGGGTCTGGTGTCAAACGTGAGAAAAGAAAATCAACAGAAGTGTTACACGTGAGGAAAAGAGAAATTGTTTCCCAGGCAACCACCCCCAAACTTTTCACAAGGAATGTTCAGCCAGGAGAGACAGAGAGAGAGGCACAGAGAGAGAGAGAGAGAGAGAGAGAGAGAGAGCGCCTAAGCACACTGTTGCAGTCTCTGCCGCAGCAGCTCCTGTTTTGGTGCTGCTTGCCTCATTGAGACAGCGTGTTCCTCTAGGCACTGTGCTTCAAGTTACAGGTCTATGGCTGTAAAGCAGCCAACCGCCACACTTCACAGCTTCCTGCATCATAGACATTTGTCCAATAAAGGGAACACAGCCTCTCACTGCCCCATTTGCTTAAGAGTGCCAAATGAGAGTGAAGACATCAGTGCCTATCGATTCCCTGTGACTCCAAAATCCAGCTCATTCATTAAGTCTGAAGCAGGATTAATTAAGTCTAGAGGGACCTGACCATTAATCTGGGCTGCTCGCTGCGTCGAGCCACGCTGGATCAAACAGTGACCCCAAACACCCTGGGATGCATGACACAGACAGAAAGATCTCCGTAAACAGCTCTGTTTGCGTGCACGACTCGCAGTCTGGTGGGAGGATAATCTCTCGCACCCAGAGCCATTATAGACGTGGAAGGTCAGGGTCTGTTTATGCGGTAATGGTGAGATACAGACTACTGATGGGTAATGAACAAGCACAGTGGGAACAGATGGAAGAGTTTAGGAGGGGAGGATATGTAACTGGGGGGGGGGGGGGGGTAGAGGGGTTTGGGAAGTATGTGAACATAAGGATAAGGAACCAGAAAGAGAGATATAGGGGTATGGGGGGAGACTATGGGAAAGGGGGATCTGCAGATCTGCAACTGGGGGGGTTATGGGAACAGGCACTTTATCCTGGGATAGATGACTTGGGAGTGTCACAGACTCACAGTGAACACTGTGCCCAGAATGACAGAAGCTAATGATATGGGAAAAGGGAATTCCAGAGTGTAATTAATCTATATCAGCTACTCGATGTATTTCATAGATTGGTTCCATGTTGTGAATGATAATATAAATGCATGTACTGATGTCAGTTGTGATGCAGTATGTAATAAATTACTACAGTGCTTTTTTTGTGCATCTGCACACATTTAACACACATGTTGACAGTCTGCAAATGACTGTCTGAACGTCTGTGCCCACGATGTACGCTAAGGAGGCTGTCCTGAAATCTGTGTGACCCAGAACATTCGGGGTGCAAAGTCAACAGTTCACCCACTGCAGACAGTTACCTAGTGACCTCGACACGACGTCGGAAATCTGTGCAGAGGCATGCTGGGTAAAGACAGGGACAGGCAGCCATGCTGGGGTTTGGGTAGAGAGACCTGGTAGATTTACGGCACTCCTTGGAGGCTTGGAAACTCATAGAAGCATTTTTCAAATTAGCTGAACTACAGATCTGCACAGATATAAAACTGTGAAATAAATATTCTCTATTAATGCTGTCTGCACCAGATTCTCATTTGGATTAAATTCTTTTTTTAAAATTTACTGTTAAACCGTATGTGAGATGTGATTGCATGCAATGGTGATTTGCAGAAACTGGAAAAAAGTAAACGGTCAAAGATCAGAAAGCTTCAGCGAGAGCGGTATTACAGGAAATGGTAAATCACTGAGGACTGGTACAAACCGAATGGCATGATCTTTTTAAAGACGCTCTCATGGAAAGACCTGCAGTGGAATAGCCAAAGAGACACAGCACTGTGCTTAGGTTCAAGCCGATGACGCATTTTCATCATTCACTACTTACTTCACAATGGCTTAAATACAGACACTAATGAGCCCATTGGTTCAACTTAGCCTGCTCTGGATGTGGTTCTGGGTCCCTGTGCAAAAATGTGACTATTTAAGTTCAGGGCAACATTTCATTATTCATTACACTCAATTAGCAGCCGAGCAAACCTAGTGAACCGGGAAAACGTCGAGATAAACAGCACTCGCTAACTCAGAGCCAAAACCAGCCCTGACGACAGGAGCCGTCCAGCTTCTCTTGTGTGCAGTATATTATGGGATGGCGGGGCAAGGGGTCCATGGAGGACTGCGGGGCCCTCAGACGGGATGATGTCAGATGAGACACACTCATTACTCATAAATAGGAATTTATTTTCCCATTTTAATAGAGTCCAAAAGTGTGTGTGTGTGTGAGGTGGGGGGCCTCCAACCGCCTCAGAGCAACGGCCCTCACCAGCCTCCCCACCACTCACACACGACAGGCTTCCAGAACTCGCACAAGGTCCGTATCGTTCTTACATTGCGATACTTCAGAAACATCAAGAGGAAGTGCTTTTCCGCAGAATGGAGAGATCAGCTCTTGAACAAAAGCTCGTTCGCTTTCGGCAATCGCACCCGGACCTCAAGTGTTTATGGGCATTTCGCCACTTTATATACTACACCGCATTTTTTCTACAATCACTGACTTAATTTACAGAATAGTATTATAAAATAGACACACACACACATTTATCTCCCACTGGCAGAAAAGTGGCTTCCTGCATTCTGTACGGCTTCGGGTCACACATCAGCTACTCCCAAATCTGGATTTGCTACATGGGAGGCAAAAGTAAAAGCAGATTCTAATAAGTGTCCTACAGAGGAGTGCTGTTGCACCTCTCCAGACCCCGCAACTTGAAGACCGGGGCAGGGCCGGTGGCCTCATCCAAGTAGGGAGCTGGGTTTTCATACACCTGTGGTGCTTTCCTCAGCACAGGGGCGGAGCCTGGGCCGTACTGGGGCGGGTGGGGCTGGACATCACCATGGCGACTGGCGCCACAGCACGGCGTCGCCTTGGTGATTAGCTTATCCATGGGTTTCATGGAGCGCATCCATGACGGCAGGAAGTCCCAGGTCTGAAGCCTTGCCGGGAGCCGCTGGGGGCTATGGGACTGCAGGATGTTGATGAGCAGGATGAAGGCGGTGACGCCAGCGAAGGGCGCCCCCACGCCCACCATGACCTGCCAGCCGGCCACCGACAGGCCGAAGACGAGCGAGGGCAGCAGCAGGAAGCACAGCACCAGGTAGAGAATGGCGAACCAGCGGTACTTGGCCGTGCGATCGCCCAGCGTCCGCGCCATGCGGATGGGAAGGCGCGTGGCAGGGATCGGGTACCAGAGCAGAATGCCCAGGATGTTGAAGAAGAAGTGGCAGAGGGCGATCTAAGAACAGTAAAAAAAAAAAAAAAAAACGCCCACAAGAGGCTGTGAAAGGGTGTCCATTTACGAGGCCAGCTGAGTCATGAGAATGTTACTTTTTCCCATTAATAAGTGATATTAATTTGGGTTAACGGGGAGCAGCTGAGCCATGAAGACAATAATGGGCAAACAGAGCGAAATCACTGAACGGATCTGCTGGATGGACCGAGGACGTGTTCCAGGTCCGGTCTCCTCCAAACCCAGGACACACGGACTTCTGGAAAAACGCAGCTTTCCAGCTGGCAAGCAGGGGTGCAGATGAGGTCTGTATATCCGGAAGCCATTGGCTGTGAATAGACGGTGCATAAAAAGTGGTACTATTGGCCAACAGTACCTGGATGGCGGCCGCCAGCTTGTCCCCGGGACTGGCCAGGGCGGCGAGGATCGCAGTGGAGGTGGTGCCGATGTTGGAGCCCAGGGTCAGTGGGTAGGCCCTCTCAAGGCTGATGACACCAATGCCTGCCAGCACAAGGCAGCCGGCGGGGGGGGGGAGGTGGGAGTTAGGGAGCTGGGGGCACCACTTGCAACCAAACACAACAGTGACCCCCCCACACACACACACTTACACACACACGCTTCACCGGCACGGTGTGTGTACGGTATTGTGTCACCAGAAAACATGTCAGAAAGGAAAGTGAAGGTAAAAATGTTCATTAGTCAAATGGTACATGATAAACGGACGAACCGTTAGAATCTTAAACAGTGGGGCCACATCCCGAGAGACGGGGGGGGGGGGGGGGGGGCAGAGAGAGGGAGAAATCTGGGTCATGGCAATGAATATATTACAGGGAATTAAACTGAAGCAAGAGCCCAAGATAATACATGAGAAAATCAGCAGCTAACAATTAGAAGAATGGAGCCATGCCTCCAAAGTCCAGGGGCTAATTTCTTATTACTGCTAATGAGGGTTTCTAGGGAGCGGAGATTGTAAACCTACAGAGTTCACTCTGGTGACCTCACTGTTAATTATTGCTAAGCCAGAGTCACTAGGGGGTGAAGAGCATGAACCCATGTGTGGGGCTAAAGGGAACAGCCATCAGAGAGGAGATTAGTGACAGAAAGCCCCACGGTCTGCATACGGCTTCCTGGTCATCACTAAGCCCCCGGGAGGATGTCCCTGTCAATGCCTGCCTGGACAGGAACTTGCATATGTATAATTTAAACAGATCATTACCCACCCCACTAATGTGATTTAGTATTCAGCAGCACTCTTTAGTGAATCTTTGAATTTGAGTTACGACATGACGCTGGATTTTCCATCCAGGTTCATCAACTGGCCATGACCTGCAAAGGTGGTGGTGGGGGGCGGGATGTATGCAGACTTCCATGACAATTGTTCCATGTTTCTCCACAACTTTTATGCCAGCGAGAGCACAGTGACCAATGAAGTTTTGAGTTATTCGTCGGGGAGTCAGCATTAGAATTCGACAGTCATGCCCACCTATCAGAGGGGTCAAGGCAGATGTGAAGACGGAGCTACTCTGAACCACGAAGGTCATCCCGGCACCCACCAGCATGGCCAGGTAGCCCGTCACCCAACCGAACGGATGGGGAAAGTCTGAGTGGGACAGAAAAGGACCACAGTTCCCATGAGCCTTCAGCTACATTTACATACTACACGTGTACACAAAAGAGCCGACTGACAAGTGTTCGCACTATTCCTCATTATCATTCCTTAATCTACTACAACAAAGGCAAATGTCATCACAGGCAAACAAAATCAAAGGCAAACAAAAGCAAACGCATCAGAACAGCAGTTTGTTTGATCATGAAAGGCAAAATCCAACAAATACGATGTCATGATGCGTGTCATGGGAAACAAAATCCATTTAAGCTCCAGCTGTTTCAGCGGCAGCTAGAATAAACGAGCAAAACAAGCAAGGTCAAGAGGCTCGCACCCGTGTTGATGATCTTCTGGATGACCTTGGCTACTTGCCCTTTCAGGAGAGAGTTGAGCAGTTTGACCAACAGGATCAAGCAGGTGCAGAGAACAGCGAGGGAGGTGGCCAGCAGAATAAGGCCCACCCACAGATCTGACATGGAGCAGTCAGCGAACAGGTGTCTACCTGAGGGAACCAGAAGCCAAATTAACCTCACTGTCCACCCAGCATGGAAGGCAACCTTAGAACTAATATCCATTTGCTCAACAAACGGACTGGAATATTTTCTAAAGGGAATTTAGTTCAGCCAAGTCCCCTATCCAGAAACCTGAGAGTTATGGTTCTGGTGACGTACATTTCTGCAAGTTGACCGGTGATATCGGATCCTCTGCCAGCCACACGGATTGTGGGAGAGTGTTGTTTTGAAGACCAGTGGTGGACGTGTGCCGAGATGGCTGGGGGGGGGGGGGGGCACAAGCACATTTCTCAATCAAGCGTTCAGATGAGGATACCCATGTGCGAAAGAAATTGCCACGCTTTGCCTTACCAGCAGGCTGGTCCCACACCACACTTTCACAAGACTCCTGTTCCGCATGCTCTCGTCTCCCATGGCGATTCCGGTGATAACGGACTTATCCAGCTGTGGCGGGACATGGAGCACAAGGGGATAAATGAATCCAGAGTAAAAGCAAGCAGGTGCTTTGTCGTGCAGGGCTTCACAATCCCAAATCCATCCATCCATTTTCTGGATGCCGCTTGTCCTATCCAGGGTAGCTGGGATTCTGGAGCCTATCCCAGAGGCTACGGGCATAAGGCAGGGAACAACCCAGGATGGAACACCAACCCACTGCAGGGCATCCTCACACACACACTCACACACACCATTCACTCACACACACTCACACACCATCCACTCACACACACTCACACACCATCCACTCACACACACTCACACACCATCCACTCACACATGTACAGCTATGATCAATTTGGTAACTCCAATCTTCAGCATGTTTTTGGACTATGGGGGGAAACCAGAGTACCCAGAGTAAACCCCATGACAACATGGCGAGAACATGCAAACTCCACAATCTTGGTGCCATCGATTAATGGCAGAGACTTGAACCCAGGTTCCAGTGGTGTGAGTGGACAGTACTAACCACTACACCACCATGCCACCTATGTTCCCAAATCCCCCCCCCACCCAATTAGTCACATAAATGACATAATTCCTGTCCAGTTTGCTGGGTCTCTGGATGAAAATGTCAGATGGAAAGCTCACCAGGTCAAGTCAGGATTTAATTTAAGAGATTACAGTATATGTGCGTGTCACTGGTGAAAACAAACCTGCTAAGTTTACTAAGTGAATGGATTCTCTCATCCATCCATAACAGACGTACTGCACTAATGTTACACATATGCCATTTATAGGAATCAACACAGTATCAAAATCCAATTCTCAATAGCACAGCCTAATTCTCATGCCTACTTACACATATTTATGTCTATCCTTGCTGAATCTTCAAGTAAAGTGTGAACTTACAGTATGCTCTGTTACTACACACCGTTTGCAATGTATACAGTATGTCTTACAGTCTCTCCAAGTCCAAGAGATGCTGCATTCATGATCAGAAATTCCAAAGGCAAATTACAAGAACCGCCATAAATGACAATGCTTTCTATACAATGTTAAAGGAAAAAGGATTCTGTTCTCTCTCCACAAAGCATTTCGGTTCCCATGTTCAGTCCTACAGGAAAGGTAACATTTCTCCGAAGGATCGATTACATAGGCAGACCGGTTTTGGACTAAAATTTTAATTTGCCTCCTTTGGTGCACGTTAATTTTTGAGGGCTTGTTCATAAGGTTCATCGTCCTTCTCCAGATAGCCCTGTGGAATACAGATGCTCCTCTACTTACGAACAAGATACGTTCCGAACGGCCGTCCGTAACTTGAAATGTTTGTAAGTCGTCATTCAACATCATTTTATGAGTATACGCAAGTACGAAGAACTAGGATGCTGGGAGTACGTAGGCTACGCTGCTGGCGGCGGGAGTAGCGGCCAGAAGTACTAGACAGAATTGGCGCGCAGAAAAATGAATGTTTGATGTTGCGCCCAGGAAACAGGAGCCCAATGAACACAATTTGGACTTACAGTCCTCTTCGTTCGTATGTCTGAAAGTTCGTAAGTAGAGGAGCGTTTGTATAACCATTCTCAGCATAACTGTTCACTATTTACAAACGGGGTTTTCGCCCTTAGTGAAAACCCCTAAGAAGCATTTTAATAATCATTCTGTGTTGGGAACCCAAGAGTTACAGAATAAAAGTAGAAATTAATGCTCTACAGGCTGGATAAACTAAGATGATCACAAGACATGTGACTGACCCAGTCAGGCACATGTGGTGACATTACTGCGATGACATCTAGTGAGAGGCTCGGTAGTGACACAGTACCTGGATGATGAGTTTGGTGAGGGGCTCTGTAATGACCTTCAACAGCTCTGGAGCGTCCTCTCCACTTTGGATATGGAAGCTCTTCACCAGGGTGCTGGCCATATGGTTCAGTAGGCCGGTGGCCACCTCTAAGGGCAGCAAAACCAGCACAGAGAGCCAATTGAAGCAGTCATGGATAGTGGCTCCTGCGAAGGCCCTGCAGGAAGTGATGTCATAACTTCAATAAGTGACATCAAGACAACAGACTCCTTTGAAGTAAGAGGTGAAACTGACAGTGAGCTGTGAACAGACAGAAGTGGCCTAGCCAGGCTGCAGTCCATCCCAGTACCGTTTGAATTCGTTTCGCTCTCCAGCTTGCATTAGAGCCACAATGGTGTTGGTGACTGAGGTGCCGATGTTGGATCCCATAATGATCGGAACAGCTGAGCTTACATTTAACACTGCAGCAGAGAGCAAAAGTGGGAAATGTTTACAAAAGCATTTCAGGAGTTTAGTTTAATTTAAAATCCCAAACAAACAAAACTCATTGGATAGAACATATTAAATTGGTACAGTCTTTGTTTCAGAGGGGACAATTGTAAAATTAATTTACAAATTATGTACAACTTGTAAATAACTTTGAAAACTTAAATGCAAAGAAGTTTCATAAAATAAGTCCTAAAGCAATTTTTTAAATGAATGTAGGCTTATCCGTTTGAGAGAGAGAGAAAAAAAGATAATGGCTTTTCTGTATTTTATGTTGCAGCCCTACAAATGAGCAACTACATCCCAGCCAAGAAAGAGAATAATAAGATGCACCTATTTTTTCCTGTACAACTTATCAATATTTAATTAGATCTACCCAAAAGAGAAATAAACAGATTTGAACCTCCCTGATGGTTAAAAACAATTATATAACAATTTTATAACAATACTTTCTTCAGTGGAATGCCACACAATTTTCTTTTTGTTGTGGTTGGATTTTCAGTATTTATAAATATTATAATATGTTCTCAATTATCCAGTTAAGTAAACCATCAGTTAAAGTGAAGCCTAATTGTTGGTTTATTGCCTACTTATTGTATCGCAGACTTTCTCATTAAACATCTCCATGGAGACTCCCCAGTGAATGGTTTTACCCTTCAATCAGTTCCTTAGTGAATAAACTAAATATGGCCACATTCTGTGTCTTAGTTCCTGCCATTAGAAACTCATAAATCTGTGACAATTTATATGAAAAAAATACATTGATCCAAATGATGAGAAAACAGTCCCACTTCTGCCTAAGGAGCATAATTAATCTTTTTTTATGAGTTGGCATTGTGCATTAATGTCTCTATAGAGCACCAGAGGCGTCAGTGTGGGAGGGGGGCAGGTTCTGCATTTACGGGAGGCCACCAATCTTGTTGTCCACCCTGAGTCAGTTTTGTGCAACTCATTGCTAAATGCTTATCATTCACACTCAAGGACAGATCAAGAGACTTGATTGAAGACTTACCTCTAAAGCAGGCAAATGTGTTGAAAGGATACTTTGTTTTGTTATAACTGGCCAAATCTGCTTTTCACAAAGTATTATCTAAACAAAATGAGCATGTGCAGACACATACGTACATCACACACATACACACACCTCACTATTAATTGTCTCTAGCATGTTCACTGTAGAAGTCTCCGTTTTAACTCACAGTGGCATGGGTATTTTAAAGTGGATCACAATTTCGGAGCTCAGAACATGTGAGATTGCCCATACTGAGACACTCAGACATCAGTCAACGTCACAGTGAGTCACTTACATCCAGAAGACACCAGGCTGACGATGATAGAGGTGGACGTGCTGGAACTCTGGACCAAAACAGTGACAAGGATCCCCACCACTAGCCCAGCTACTGGATTGGACAGTATGGCGTTGTCCTTGAAGATGTCTCCTGCAACCTTACCTACAGGAAATGGGATTTTTTTAAGCCTCAAAATTAGATTTTAGTAAAATGACTGATTACATTAGCATGGCATCTTTTGATCCAGCAGGTGTTTCTAAATAACACGCTAACTGGCTCTTATATTAAAGAGGCTAATTTGATATTGTGGATTTCTCTAGGAGTCAATATATGGGGGGTAGACCTGCTCTCTGAGGGCGGGCTGCATGTTATAGTAACAAGGCAGCTTCCAACTTTGAGGCAGTTAAAGGCAACAGTGCTGTGTTAGGATAGAAGATGCACCAAGGTACTGTAGCACATCGGAAAAGGCAATACTCAAAATGTTAGCCCAGGGTGGCAAATGCATGGAATTTGAATATTTACCCCCAGCCAACTGGAAGGCTGAACTCAGGATGTCCAGGGAACAGACAAACATGAAGAGGAGAAAGAGGAGGAGGGGGATCTTGAAGACGCTGACAAGCAGTGGTTTCATTCCATCTGCATTCTCTGCATCAGGCTCTGAGAAGACCAGAGGAGCATGGCAATCCCAGAATGCAACAGGGTCTCGCAATGTTCATTCCGGGAAAACAGGAACGGCCAGCAGCGATGTTTTGGAAGAAACGGAACCTCAAAGCACATCTCCCACATGCTCAAAAAAATCCAGGTAAAAAATTAATACCACTAAACTAACCAACACAATTGAATCAGAGGTTTAAAGTTTTATCTCCAGTGTCATCCCGTGGTAATGAAATTTCAGTGTTTCCATCTGAAAGGCTTCATATTGAGCTACATTTTATTTTAGCTACCATACTTTCCAAATAACACTTCTTCTCCCAATAGAATTTAATAAAAACCTCAATACTTCTAGGCTAAACTACGCTGAAAGAAACTGCTGTAATGTACACCTCCCTCACCTTGATGCTTCTGGTCCTTCCATAGTCTTGTTGAGCCAATGTCCACCTCAGCCCTCTCGCAGTTGTTTATGAGATCCAGGGTAGACCCAGAGCCCAGGTCCACCTGCTCCATCAGATTGCCTCTAGGTCCATGAAAGCTCAACTCTGAAGTCAAGAGAGCGATTGCAGTATTGAATTAATAACTAGTCATGAAGATAACCCTGAATTAAAAAGTGCCACGTGGTGATCATGAATCTTTCCCTGTTATTCAAATATAACACTTTCTGCACACAGAGCCGTTATTTACCGTTGTAGTTAACCATGGGTTCTCCGGTGGTTATGGTTATTGTTATAGGACGCGAAGACATGACCCCTTACAAAAAAAAAGAAAAGGAAAAAAAAAGTTAAATATGAGGGCAGGATAAAATGAATAAGGTCTTTTATATCACTGAAACGTATTATAAATTAACAGTACACCAAAGACATAAAAACTATTTTTAAATTGCAAAATGTGTTAAATGCACAGCATCTGAGACAAAGCGTTTCCTGATGCACTCTCAAAGGCACAGGTCACGATGGCCGCTTAAGTGACACGATGGGCCTGATGTCTGCGTGAGTGCGATGAACGCTTGAGCTGCGTTTCTTCCGCTTCTACGGCTCACAAAGCCGAGCAAATTGAGCGGAGCGGAAAAGACGGCTTCGTTTAAACAGTCATCGTGTTGCCGTGGCTTTCCCGGCGACTGATGAGGGGGGGTTGTGGTCGGAGATCAAAACGCGTCTCCGTCCCGCTTTTCGTTCTCCAGCAAAGCGCAGTTTGAAGGAGCGTGTCCGCAGACGCGCATTCTCTGCGCTCCGTCTTCCAGGATAATACGATAATAACAGTGGAGGCGGATCAAGTGCCGCACAATTACCTTGCAGTTCTGCAACTAATCTTTTCCCTTTTCTCGAAACACAGCAACGTGATTGATTAATAGTAAAAGTTAACAATATGATCGCGAAACGAGTTGTGAGAGAGAGGTAAGCAGCAGCTCGCAAATAGTGCTTGGGAAAATGTTTGGATAATGTTGATGAAATGTCTTACAGCAGAAACTATAACGTGTGAATTTCTCAACATGTACCGTATACACTTCCCTATTCAACAGAAAAGTACGCCTACATTATATTTTTTAAATCAGAACTGGCAAATAAAACCAAAGTTTGTCAGTAACGTTTGAACAGCGGCTCTAATGACTCCGATAAATGTCCATGAATTTTCCAAACTTACCTTATAATTTCTATTAGACGCTCTAGGCTCTCGTTATTACCAAATCTTTATTTATTTTATTCTTTTGCAGGACGGACCGGGGAGGTTTTATACCACCTGCCAGCGGGTCCAAAGTTTGGAGGTCCCACAGTAATTAACCTGATTCGTGCAGAAAAGGCTAATTATTAGCAGAAGCTGAGACGCCAAAAATGTTTTGTAAGTGAGGTAAATCTCGAATATTTACAAATTATCCCTGATGTGAGCGTCCCCGTGGAATTATTTTAGCGTGACATAATTTTCTGATCCCGGAGATTAACGACATCTTGTGGTGAGTCTATGCCAAGACAACATTTAACGGCCCTCCTTTAATTACAGATAAGTTGGCTTAGCATTCTTCCTCGTTATTTACAAAAAGCAGTTCCATCCTTGTTAGGCTCAGATGAGGTAATTTTCCAGCAAAACATTTTTGCGAATTACGGAAGCAAATTTTTGTTGCTCCCAAGTCCAGGTAGAGAGGAAAAATCAAATGAAATGTAAACATCGACTTCAGAACAGTGTTGTACCTGCAGTTAGCACTTCAGTAATATCATTATTAATAATAAATGAATAGTGTAGGGGGATTCGCATTTATTTAAACAATACAAGATACACATTTATATAAATTTAATTTATATAAATGCACATTTATTAATTTTTTTTTTGGGGGGGGGGTTGCTAAAGCAAGGTCTGGCTACACCCCTAAGATTATCTTAATCAAGGCTCACCTCTCTGGTTGTAATATGCCCCGTGTCTAGCTGGGGGGTTAGGGTGCAGCTCAGGAATCCAAAGGTCCAACTGATTCATTCTTCATGTTTATATGCAGTGATCTCATGGAAGGTCTCTGTAAAAGGAACTTCTTAAGCAAGTGAAGATTTCCAAAAATCACTCACTCCATTCTTTGTTGTTTTTGAGAGGACTCAATCGTCAGGTAATCCGGCGAAGAACTTTTGTTAAATTTCCAAAACTCACCAAGTCCACAGAAACACAGCTCGTGGACTGAGTGAGCTTTGGAAATTTGCTCTTCGATGGTCTTTTTCAGAGTTTAGCATGCTGATAAACTTGAGTGAGATATACACACACATATATATATACACATATATATACACATATATATATATAGAGAGAGAGTGAGATATACGTATATATATATGAAAAAATCAAGGTGGCTCAGTGGGTGGTGATGATTCCTCACAGTGATTAGTCATGTGCGATTTGCATTTATTAGGCTGATTGACTTCAATACCACGAAACCTTCAGTGTGCATGTATGTTCCCCTTTAATACACTAACATCCCTTCCTAAACTTCCCACCCTGTGCTGACTGGAATGGGCTCCAAGATCCCCTGTGACCCTGAGCAGCATAAACGGCTGAAGATGGATGGACACAAGCTCTCAGATGTAAAAGAAAAATACTGGGATCTATACCGCAGAAACGGAAAGCTGTCGAATTAAATGTTTTATGATCCAGATGTAATATTCTGGGCCATTGTTAGTGCTGCAGCCCCACATGCACGAGGGGGGGGGTCACACAGCTGCACTGCCTTTGCATTGTTGTCTTTAGGTAACTCTGCTTTCTTGGGACCGTGTGTGTGTGTGTGTGTGTGTGTGTGTGTGTGTGTCCTGTGACAGACCGGGGTCCGGGGTCCGTACATGCTGTTCCCCCACCTTGTGGATGTACTTACAGGACAGATTAAAATGTGACACAATGCCACCTGTATGATCTTTTTTGGGTCTCTGGATGACTCAGTTGCAGACAGGGATGTGACACACTGGGCAGTGAAGACTTCCTTACAGCTGTCTGATATGTGTCAGCATGGCAGGATTACAATACTTATAGAAATAGAAATTCCTATTTTTTAAACTAAAAGGAGATTTTTGTAAAGCAAGGTGGGGGCCAGAGCATCATTTCTCAGCCCATTCCTCTGGCACCCCCAGGTCATCCACGGATTTGCACCCTCCCAGCTAATATGCAGACCGCCTGGGGGTCCCCCAGGACTGGTCTGAGCAATAATAATATATACATTAAAATCCATATCAAAGACGTCTACAGAGGCAAAAAACTTGTAATAATAAAACTATAAGATGTCAGTCATTAACCGGGACTTTGTTTCTGATATCAGCGTTTTTTTCGGGATTGGACCCTGACACAACCCTGTGTACCTGTTCACCTTTGGTTTAATATTTCCCTCATTTTCTCATGGACCAAAACTAATTGTCCCCCTTGAGAAATGAGGCATATTAACCCCCCCAGACAATGAGAACAAACAAAAGGGAATTTAAGGGCTTTCTCTGTTTATGATTTTCTTCTGAACCAGAGGCGATTCTAGGGACTTCAGGGGCTCTAGGCAAAAAACTATAGCCCTCCAACTCCCCCTCCCCTGGCATGGTAACATTTTTTACCTTTATTTTACTGAAAAGTGTAAGTTTGTAATATCAACAAAGAAAATTTAATAAACACAAGACCTTTTGTGAAAAACAGAATATACAAATAGGGCAGATTTGTCGTTGCAATGTGCTATGTAATCAGCTGCCCTCGGGGGCCCCCCTCCCAGCTCGGGGCCCCCGGCCTTTGCTTGCCGAACCTGTTCTGTCACTGCGCCTCTGTGCAGAGCCACTGCAGTTTCTGTCCCGTTGACATATGAGGGGATAAGTTATAAAATCTGCTTAGATCTAACAGGGAATGAAGAGACTGCAAATGTACAATCTATTTTTTTTATGAACGTAGAATAATATTTTCTTTCATTCCAGGTCCCAACAAAAATGCTATTGTGCAGTTGGACCATACAGATTTGTTAATGTGTACCAATTACTGTATGTGATGTACGTTAAAGTGCAAGGCATTGAAGTGGCCCTCACACACCTACTGTATATGTCCTGTAGGGACGGAGAGCACTCAAGGACAAAATGCAGGGGGGGGGGGTGGCAGTGCAGCCATTACAGCATTCAAACATGCATGGTCCCTCCATTGGCCCCCCTAAATACATATGCTGCTTGGGTCTGAAATAAATGCATTATTAGTATTATTATTATTTACATTTATACATGTGGCCTAAAATTCTGTGTGCCGGCAATCGGCGAAACACAAACGTAAGCACATTTTCTTGATGGACTCTTAACACGGGTGCACTGGGTGGTCGAGTCGCTTCAGCTGGTGAAAAGCGTTAATGACAGAAAAAAGTTAATGACAGAAAAAATAAGCTTGTGGAAGCAAGAAATCAGAGTGAGTTACACTTGTAAAAACTGTAAAATGTACGTTACTGTGGAAAGTCTTAGGCAGTCATAGGAAATGTTTAAAAAACACAATTTAACATTAAAACACAATAATTAAGAATAACGCAACAAAAACAAGAATTTCCTCTGTTCTCCAAGCATTCACTGATATTTTGCACGGTGGCTGAATACTGCTATAGGGCTCCCAAACCTCTCAGGAGCGCCTCAGTCATTCTGTGTATTTGTTACATTACACATCTAGCTCAATTCATTCATTTCATTCATTGATGTATTGATCAGCCATACAAGGTGGGGTAGTGGATGAGTCAGAAATTCATGGGTATGTTGGATGGTTGCTTCAAATACTGGAGTGATTTAAGGAGAACTTTTGAAATGGCTAAACTGACACACTGACAGACATAATAGTTTTACACCAACATGAAGATAATTTAAACATTTAAACATCTGGCTAAGACTTTTGCACAGTACTGAAACTGCTAAGCATTGCATGAATTGTCCTTTGCTTCTTAATGCTGGCAATCTAGTGTAAGTATCACTTGGAGGACATTAAGGTCAAATGCATCTGCCCCCCCTAACAGAACAACTGGCCCCAGTCTGCCCCCCCCCCAGTTGAAATGGTCTACAACCGTCACTGACAAAATACCCTCCAGGTGGCCTGGTACTCAAAGGATCTAGGTAACAAAAACCAGCCATAATTTAATTCCCATCACAACACACAGTGTGACATCTGAGGTGGCTTTTTATTGTCATGCCTATTTGTAGTGTGACAGTCAGAGCCTCACAATGGCCACCCAGGCGAGGGCAGTTTGGGCATCAAACCATTCGGCCTCTCTGAAGGTGCAGCCAAGCAGCAGCATGGGCAGGAGTGTTCCGCTCCTGAAACGTGACGAGAACCAGGACAGCCGCCGTGTGCAGGGGGTGCTGGAAGGGCATGGAGACCCTGGCAGATTCAGGGGGCCCGGCCCTTGACAAGTGCTCAATAATCCACCATCGGGCCCCCCCACGCTCAGCAAAACCCTAACCCAAGGTGACATTCAGGGGGCAGCTGCGTAATGGCATCCAGCCATAGTGAGTGTGCTTTCATGCTACATTTTATAATCAGATAGCCTCAAAATGTATTACCCCTTTATCAATTACAACTATTTATAATAAAAATAATAATAATATTGCTATTGCTGATGACCCATTTATCCCATCCATCCAAGACACAGAACTGACGCCTGACTGATGGGGGTGTGTACTTTACAACATAACCGTAGGCTGAGTCTATGGCGAGGCTGCGTTTAAACAGTCTATGGCGAGGCGGCGTATAAGCAGTCTATGGCAAGGCGGCGTATAAGCAGTCTATGGCAAGGCGGCGTTTAAACAGTCCTCTGGAGTCCTCCAAGATCTTGATTTATACATCCTGGAGTTGGACCATAAGACCACAAAAACCTCAAGTATATCTGCTTTTTGTCATCCCAGTCATGTATCACAAACCCTCTGCTAAGATCTATAAACTGCAATGAATCCTGAGATCCTCTCTCTCACCTCGTCGGAGGAGCCCTCAGATTCTCGCACAGTATGTGGAAGGCAGAGATGTTTTTAAACCACGATGCCAAGAACGGCATAAGACGCATCTTTCCTTGACCTATCAAAACCTCCCACCACCAAACTGTGACGTCTCAGGTAAGATGGTCGTCACGACCCCCGAGTAGCATCACGAATGTAAATCGTACAGCAGACTGACTGTAGACTGGAATCCTCACTTCTTACCTTCAGCACTGTCATCCTGCCTTAACCCATAAGACTGATGGTCTGGGTCGACCAGGCAGTTTGTTAACTCCATCAAATGTGACTAAACTACACATCCCAGGATGCCTTTTGCAGTGAGACTCCCTCCTCTACACACTGCAGTTATGGATGGCATTCTTTGTAGCTCATTGCTACAATAAGCAAGACGAAGTCTAGGTTGGCAGACGGACCTATACCATGTGAGAATTTAGAGATGTAGCGGGGAAATGAACTGATGCCCTCGAGATTCAGTTCTGGAAAAAAATAAGAGACCACTCTATATATATATATATTTTTTAAATCTGCATTAAATCCTGGTTTAATCCTGGTTCTGCTGCCAGACGGCTACACTGCACTGCAGGCTACTTACAGGCTCAGGTTTTCTAAGACAGTAGAACACAAGAAGGTGAAGCAGGAGACACTGGGAACGACCAGAAGCCAGCCAGGTAGAGGGCAAAAGCGACTTTCTAATGCCGGAGATGACCACCAACTTATCTGGCGGTGCCTCAAATTGGAGGATGACCTGAAGTGACCTTTAAAAAGAAGGGGGAACATTAAGTGTAGGTGTGAAGTGCAGAGCTGGGACAGTTAGGACTGCTGGGACCCCTGGAAGACCTTAAACACCCATAAAGCAAGGAAGAAGCTAAAACTGTTGCTGTGGTTTCCAGAGCAGTATATCAGATGGTGAACCAAATATACACAATAGCCATTATTCCCTCTGACAAACAAGACAGCCGTGAGAGCTGGACATCTGCTCCAGTACTCTCACATTACTTGGAAGCTGTTTTTTACAGCCACCTGTGAGTAGGGGGGCTTGTCCCCCACACTCGTCCCTCCCCTGAAAGATCCACCACCATTATACACGCCATTATACATTATACAGGCAGGAACCTAAAAACGCACCCCAAAGAAACTCACAGAAATTGAACACATACCTGTGACAACACCCTTGTATACATGCGGCCCATTTATCTGTAGCTCCTGCAGTCTGTCTCTTCCAGCTGGTCCTACTCATACTTCGGAAGTTAATGTAAATCGGCCCGGCTGGGTTTCATTAACTGGGGCCCATAAGATGTTTGTTTAACGTCAGTAACTTTTGACAAACCAACTCCATTTGTTAAAAGCAAACATAGACCAAACAGGTGCGGTGAGACACTTAGATAATGTTTCATCCTTTGCAGAAGGTTTTATTTGAATGTTACTACAATGACAAAGAGTTCAATTTATATACATAAATATACCCTGCATACAGTGCTGTCTTACTAACATACTGAGCAACTTATTATAATTATTAGTAGTAGTAGTAGTAGTAGTAGTAGTAGTAGTAGTAGTAGTAGTAGTAGTAGTAGTAGTAGTAGTAGTTCACAAAACGATATTCAAAGCTTTTAGAGATGGAAGGTCAGTAAGCCTGACTGTGGAAGCTAAATGCTAGCACTCTGACCAATGAGTGCAGATCTCAGTTTTAGCCGAAATCTCAAAATGACTCATTAATCCAATTGTCAAAACCTTAATGTTGAATGTTATATTCAAGCTTACTTTTTTGGAAATGGACACCGGCCTTGTTTCTGTACACTGGCGAAAAATGTTTGAGGGTTTTGGAGGGGGACTCACATTGTTCGAGTTTGGTCATAAACAGCCATAGTGATTAATTATCAATGCAGGGCACCTTAATTTCTTTCTGTGCGTCAGACAAAGAAACAAGAATGAAAAACTGTAAATCTCTCATAAAACCAATATTCAGAGGTGGACATTTCAGGTCCAGAAATTAAAAATCCAGACCAAGATTTTGTTTCAACCAACCGGTTGAGTGACTGTGACTATGACTCAACTGGTTGGTTGAAACAAAATCCTGATTTGGATTTTTATTTTCTGGAACTGAAAAAAAAAAAACATTTCTAGATGCCACAGTATTAGGAATTATATATATGATGGGAGGGGCATTATAGTCTGTCTGTCGCCACTTTCGTCATCTAACACTCCCCATGATTCTCTGTTTTAATGGAAGTCACTGAGTCTGACAGTCACTCATGGAGAAACTGACATTTTGCTGTCATCGTACGGGATGAATGGCTTAAGAATAGTGGAACACGAGTGAAACTTATGGGGCTCTCCGAGACAACAGCAGGAATTAATGCAGCATTTTAACTCACCGTGACCCCACGAGGAGCAGAAAGAATGACAGAATGGGAGGAGTGTACACTCCTAGAGAATGCATTTATTGTGAATACACATCCAGCGGGCATGTACAGCGGACATTATAATGAAAGAGAGCGCAAGTGTGTGTGTGTGTGTGTGTGTAGCAGCCTTGTGGGGACCATTTTTTTGGTCCCCACAAGGGGAAACTCCAAACTAAAACAGCCAAAAGTCTTGTATTTTGTGTGGTTACTTATGATTATGATTAGGGCTCAGTAGGGTTTAAGGTTGTCATTCTTGGAATTAGGGTTTTTTCCACATAGAAATAAATGGATGATCCACTCAAAGATATGAATACAAACTGTGTGTGTGTGTGCCTGTCTGTGTCTGTATGTCTGTCTGTACGTGTGTGTGTTTGTATGTCTGTCTGTGTGTATCTGTGTGTGTGTGTGCCTGTCTGTGTCTGTATGTCGGTCTGTACGTGTGTGTATCTGTGTGTGTGTGTGTGTGTGTGTAGCAGCCACAGAGACAGGGGTGGAAAGGGTGGTTGTGCCGGCATGCAGCTTGCAGTAGTCCTAGTTTGTGTGCACACACATGCATACTGATGTTTTCCTGGTGATCAGCCGATGTCCTGAGGCTCTGTCCTCTAAATCATTTTGGCTCCTCTGACAAGGACAAAGGAGCATCAGAGCTTTCTGTTGTCACCTAGAAGGAGCCAAGAAAGGTCCAGTGTAAGGCCAAGGAACATTACAAGATACAAAGAAATCACAGAAGAGTATTACTCTCCAACCTTCCCTTTCACAGTAGATTTCTCTTTACAGATACTTCTCACCCACCCAGCATGCACAAATAACAAGGGGACCAGACTGTACGTCAAAGATGGAGTCAAGATGACTTGAGAGCTGTTTATGAGAATCCATGAGGTTGGATGGGGGAAGGAGGCTTTACCTTATCTTCCTCCTGGTCAGACCTTGCCGGAAGGGATTTCTGAGGGGTATGAAAGGCCTGAAAGAATGAGGAAGTAGCGACCCATTTACCTAGCAGGAGGAAATGGCTGTTGTACCCCTGAGTGAGGTGCCAACCCTGAATTGTTCAAGTAACAGCTGTCACTTTAGATCAAAACGTCTGGTAAGGAACTGAAGGCCATTACGAAGTCCATCGTTTTATTCCAAGAAGAAACTTTGTCCCTGTCATAGTTAACCTTAAACAATCATTGAAACTGTAGAAAGATGAGAGTGTCCCAGCAAAGGCAGCCAAAGCGTGTTAAATATTAAAACTACAGTTTAACTCTGGGAATCCCAGGTTTTTACAGAAGAAGGTCTAGTTTGGAAAGTACTTTTAGGAATGAGCTGGTCTCTCTTGGAAATGCAGGCTATACTTTAAAAAATGCGTACAAGTTTTTACCTTCTTGACTTGTTGGATCTCCTCAGCAGACTTGGACCTGTTCTTCATGTGTTTCTGGGGGGAGGCTGATTGGCACTGAGGAGGAGGAGGATACAGCTGAAGTCAGTTTAGCACAGTAACCTGGAGTTTCACGGCACGTTCCCTTCCACATTTCTGATTTACCTTTGAGTCCATGACTATATGCTCCAAGTTCCCTGCAGAATATCCCGTCTGGTTATGCTGATGCTTTGTTATGGCTCACCTGGGGAAACAAAAATAGACAACTCATAACCTCATTTACGGCTGTGCTCAGAATGCCATTTTCTGCCTCTGTTTGTCATGCAGTTACATGTTACATCCACTAGGTGGCACTGCTTGCTAAGGGGAGGTGCTCTGGGTGCTGACCCCGTTTCTTTCAAATGGTAATGTGACATTGAGATGGGATGCAAAAGTATAAGATAAACTGGCAATAAATAGTATGACAACTAAGGCTGAGCAGGATTTATTGCTTTCAGGGACATAAATTCACCCAAACACTGAATTTTTAAAATTTATAACAACTGCAGTATTACTGCACAGCTTTAGTACACCCTTGATATGGAATATTCCATTCCACAGAGGGGGGAGAAGCAGCCAGAAAGTACCACCACAAGACACAGTGTCGCTTTTTGGTAAACCGCCACGAATATCACCCAAGACTGGTGCCTTTAATTTGAAGTTCTCTTCCCATGGGGCAGAGGCACCGTGTTGGCCAGCACTAAGGAATAATATCTTCAGAGTCACATGACCGCACAGGCATTCCCAGTCACACAGAAACAGCAGCAGGCTTCAGGAAGATGGGGGGCAAAACCCGGCCTCCCCAGCTTGGACTCACCCATCTCAATCCAATGATACTTCTGCCCCCACCCTCACTGACATTTACATACCCAGTATACCAATGCCCCCCCGCATCCACACAATTCCTACAGGCTGATTCTTTCTACTTTCTTCAAATCCAGAGCAATGATACGATTGGAGCCCATGTACCCATGCGAGAGCGTTCCTGCCGTGGGAGGACTGGGAGCACGTAGACTGGCCTGAATCAGGGTGCATGGTGACCACAGGAGGGAGGACTGGGAGCACGTAGACTGGCCTGAATCAGGGTNGAGGACTGGGAGCACGTAGACTGGCCTGAATCAGGGTGCATGGTGACCACAGGAGGGAGGACTGGGAGCACGTAGACTGGCCTGAATCAGGGTGCGTGGTGACCACAGGAAGGAGGACTGGGAGCACGTAGACTGGCCTGAATCAGGGTGCGTGGTGACCACAGGAGGGAGGACTGGGAGCAACGCAGGGCAGCACAGCAGTAACCCCACGGGAAATCTAGGCCTTTCCTAATGGCACCTGATCCCAGCAGCTTCTCAGAGTCTCTGACTTATAAATCAGCACTGCCCTTCAGTAAGTATTAAGGCAAGTGAAAATAAAAACAGAACAGAAAAAATGAAAAGTCCGGAAATGATGACAAATGAATTACATTGTATTCAACAGTTAATCACTCCACATGGGGGGGGGGGTCCATTCTCTGACCCTCTGAAGTATTTAACACAGAAGCTCTCGGCAGGCGGATTGGGGGGAGGAGGTTAACTGCGGGTGTGGACTGTGCTTCCTGCCCACTGCAAGGCACTGCATGACATTGCAGCTGACAAATATCAATCCCAGTCGCCCACTGTGTATGACCCGGAGGTTGGGGGGTGCAGGTATACCAGAGGTAAAATTCATTCCTTTGAAAGAGCATTTTTCACTGGAAGCACTACATTAGTGTCAACTGTGCCATACAGCCTTCAAATGGGATGAGAATATACTGCAAGAATGCTGGGAAAATTCAACACCGCCACCACTGCACATGTATATGCTTTATAGATGTACACCAGAGGACGTTCAAGATCCCCTTATTGTCCCATTTCAGAAAGAAAGAAGGGAAATCAATTCAGGCGGTCACGGTTGCTGCTGAGCAGTGTGTTGAAGTCTCCTCTCCTAACCCTCACTTCCTTCAGCCCTCATGTTTTCACATGGCTCTCTGTCCAAATAAGTTGTCTGGGGTTACGGAGAAACATTATACTGACAGAGGGATGCATTCCACAAGACGTGCACCTACAAGGTCTGGTTCTAAGGAATGAGCACTAAGCATTTACCAGTGCGCCCCCCCCCCCAGTCATTTAGTAGTCTCACTGTGAGCCTGGAGCCTCTCTCCGGTAGCAGAGGACACCCTGGATGAGATGCTAGCACTTTTTCTTGATATGAATGCCAAGGGGAGACTGAGGGTAGTGCTCTGTGCTGTGTCCATTACAGCTCCTCAGTACTGCTCCATGCATCTTGAAACTAGCACCTTTTAACATTATGATTTGTTTTACTGCTGCCTCTTCTGCTAGGACAGTACTGTCAATCGTTAAAAAAACTGAATGTTTCAGATGTTTCCTCCAGCATTGTTGTGATGCTCCTCTCTTCACAGAACACCCACATTTTCCATTTTGTTTTGTCCTCAAGACTACAATGACAACCTAGTGATGGGATATTGAATCAAGATGACAGCGGATTCTCACAGGTAATGTGAAAATAATAGACACTGAAAGGTTCGAATTTACTATCCTGGACAAATACCAAAAGACTGTGGAACTCATTTCTAGAGTAGCTCAATTTGAACATTAGAAGACCGCTAGAAATTTCTTGGTATTACAGACACGGACAACCAACCTCAACTGTGCACATTCTCTGATCAGTTCATGCCACAGAAAAAAAAAAAAAAAAAAAACCTTTAGCACAGAAAATAAGCAGCTGTGAGATGCACTGGTGCCTCTACATTACTGGGTCAGCAGAAGGTGAGGCAGCGTGTGGAGGCACGCCGGCCAATGTGGAGGTCCCCAGGAGGTACACGGTCTGGCGGGGAATGCGCAACAGGGGCGAGGGGGGGCTGATTGTATTTCAGGTCTAGCCATACTTACAATACAAAATTAATGTTATACTAGATGGTATTTCCCAAGTTCATAATCTAACATACCTAATTTAAAGACTGAATAGAAATTTACCCTCAAATGAAGGCCCTTCACTGTAGGCTATGAGAGGTGCAGCTCTTATAACAGTAACTCCAGGCTATATAGTAGGAAAGTGAAATGAAATGCAGGCCGTCATGTTGATTGTATCAGAGCTTAAGAAGGCTGATGCACACCACCAAAATTTCAGTGTCCTACATGGTAAGAGACTCTAATATTCTCTGTTTAAATGTACTGTAAGATCTGCTTAAGAGCATCCTTGCTGATGTCAATGTGGACATCGGCGAATTCATCTGAATGGTGGCAGCCAATATCTAGTTCTATGCTAAGTGGCTCTGGCCTTCATTTAGTCTGATATGACATCTGTCTGTGAGGGAAACATCTTTGTCATGCATGACACTGAACTCCTTCTAAAATCACTTTCACCCATGAGAGTGGAGTCTGAGAGCAGCTAAAATGAGAGTAGGAAGATTTTTTTGGTGTAGCGCCGCAGCCTGTCGGTTCATCAACCTCACGACTTCTGCTGACAGCAACAGGTCTACTGTAACACAACGCTTCACATTCCAGACCGGCTGAAAGGCGTGCCAGGCTGTTTGGCATTAACTAAAATTGGTAGGGGCAAGCACAATCTTGCCAGAAGGATCCCATCAAAGTGAAGACCATAGCAGCCACGCTGCTTGCTTGCAGAGCACTGAAAGTCAAGCATGGTTTGGGTTTGTTACTTTCAGGATGGTAAGAAAAACATAACCAAGATTCTTAGTGTTAAAATGTAAGGCATCTGACCGCAAAGAGAAATGTAACAAGGTCCTACAGAGGGGAGGTGATATCAAAGATGACACCGTGACCAGAGCGGCTGTTACCCAAACTGAATTATTCATTCAAGTCTCCGGATCAAATCAAATCCATCTAATGACATCGGTCCACAAAGATTATGTCGCAGTACTACTAAGTAACCTTTGTCCTTTTTTAATGGTAATTTCAGACATGCATTCAGAACTCTGCTATTACCCATAGCTTTGAAGTCATTTTTAGGCTAAGTTGATGCCATGAATTCCTTAAGAATATATTATAAGGGTATATTGAAGGAAAATTTATTTTATTTCTATTTGCAAACGTTTGTAAGATTTGCAGAAGGGCGTAAAGTACTGTTCGTCCGTTTCTCTAGTTTACAACCTGCATGTGTTTGGACATGTTGATACAGGATCCTGCTCTGACACCCAGCCCCCTGCTCGTTGATCAGTCGCTGGACTCATAAGAGGGATGTTCCTGAGGCCAGGAAAAGCAGAAAATCTACTATTCATGTAGAATGTAAATCTATGTATAGCATAAAGTCTGAGTCTCTCACAATTGTTGCATGGGAAACTGATAATATACTGTATGTGAATTCAGAGCAAAAAAAATAATGTTTCATTGCTTTTGATTTGTGTGGCAAAAATATAAAAATTTGTTGACTTATCAATCAGTAAAATCAGATTCCTTATCATATGAGCATCCTGGCACAAAAATTGGCTTAAGGGATAGATAAAGACTTCATTTATCGCTACAGTTCAATTGAAATGCGACACTTCAAAACGGAAAATGTCTCTTACTGAGCACTCTGGGGCAGCACCTTCAGCTCTTCAAAACGAAAGAAAAGAATAAAGAAGAACCCAGCCAATCGGCAGCATTCTGCTGAGCTGACGCAGTTTGGCTGAAATGTGACATTTCTCACCGTGTGGTTTCTCTTCCTCCTCTGAAGTTTCCCTCCTTTCCAGTTTCACCCCCCCCCCCAGCACAAGCTCTCTGCTCACTTTTAATTAAACAAAAGCTGCCACATACACAGAGATGATCACAGAGCTGCATGTTTAAAGCACTAAAGCATTTCTCCATGCCCAAAAAACCATACATATATCAACTTTCACCATTCACATAGAATGTAAATACTTTTCACGTGACAGCAAGCTGTGGTGCCCTCTGTTATATGGGCTGCATTCAGCTGACGAGCAAAACAGAATTAAAAAAGAATTAACAAGCAAATTCATGATTGGCTCATACTGATTTTTGATGTTAGGCTCTCTGTAGGGCGAGACGACACCCTGCCCACCCCCACAGCCAGCCCGTCTGTATATCCACCCCACGCTCAGCAACTCGCCGCAAACGGGGTGAAACGAGGATGACAGACAGGCTCTCTCTCAAAGCTGGTAGGGAGGGACGACATAAGTCGCAGGAACAGTCACGCACTCACAAACATGTCAACAAAGAGACGGATAATGGTTATGACAACAAGCGGCTACTTACCGGATTCCCGCTCTGACGGTGGGAGCCTGCCTCCTCAGTCACCCCCCCTACAGGCGGAGCTCCCCTTACCTCTCCTCTATCCGTCTCCCTCTCCCGCGGTCGTCGCTGTAAACGCACTGCCCACAGGGCAAAGTGCCACTTCGCCGCACGCCGACGACTTCACAGACATGTCAGGAGACCCCCTCCCCTACCCACCCACCCAAGCAGGTCCCCCACTGCATCCGAGCTTGCTGGGGGGTAAATGAGGCAACGCTCTGCTCCAATTCAGAGCTGGCTGTGAACGCGACTCTGATCCTAGCTATTGACCGCCCCCCCTCCCAGCACACCAACAGTCAGCCACCATGCTCCCTTCCGCTGGTCTCCACAGAAACGTTTATTAACTTGAACAAAATGTACTGCTATAACGACGACTACAGATGGATAGGAGAGAGTTCTCAGCGGCGTTGAGCTGAGGCTCCCTGTATTGTGACATGTTTAACAAACAGAGTCGCGTGAGTTCAGGTCTTGGAACAACTCGCTTTATGGTAAATTCTGCAGTTAATTAATCCATACGGCACACACAGAGAAATTCTATCAACATTTCATGCCCCAGCCACCCACCCCCCCACCCCAAACCAAACCCACAGGCCACAGCATCATTGCACGTGTCCCAGAAGCCACACGTTTCAGGCCTCATGGGACTGACCTCATATCAACATAGAAATAGTAGTTGAGCACGCATGCATCACTTAACATTAACCAACAAGCCAGCCCACGTTTCTGTTCCAGCCCAGAGTGCTGCACACCTGCATCAGATCATAGGCTTTCATTAGTGAGAGAGAAACGGGCGCTGGGGTGGGGGGGGCTGATTCAGCTTTTGTCGTAGCTCCGCAGCTTGAGGCCCAGCGTAGCTGGAGCAGGTTAAAACAGGCAACTATATCCTGGAATCTGTTAAAAATGCTGAAATGAGGTGTAGACACAAAGAAAAGAATCACTGGGGGAAGGCACCATACTGCCTGTAGTTGGACTCAGGCTATCGGTTTATCCTGGTCTTCAAAATAACTGGTGACCTTAATGGGAAGCGGATACACCAAATAACCCGATCAGGGTACGACTCATTTTTTCCTGCCCTGCTCCGTGGGCTGAGGAGTCCGCTGGCCTCTGCTTTTTTTGACTCGGGATCAGGGTATGTTCAGGGTATGTTCCAGCAGAAAAGGGGTGACACTGTATACACACATACATGCAGACACATCATACAAAAAAGGAAAAAGAGCAACGACATGCACAGACCGTTTTCTATGGTGCAGCCCCATCACAACAAACCAAAACCCCCAATCACTTCTCAGAAAAAGTGATAAAGCAACACAAGTAGAAAGTGAACACTATCAATCACTTTAAAAAAAAAAACAAAAAAAAAAAAAAGAAGAAATGAATACAGCCATGACCCTTAAGTGCTCCCCTGAAGTCAGAGAACAGGAACTGCCGATGCCAGCAGGACCTCCAGCCGTCACACTCGTTTGAGTTCAGACTCATAAAAGTGCATTATGATAATAAGCATGTGCAATTAATAGGAAGGAAGAGTCGTAGTACTAGGCTACTGGAAAGGCATGGCTATAAATAACAGTCGACATCCAAAATAAATATCAAGTTACTCAGAAAAGCATTTCTGAGCGTTGAACCAGGCCATAAGACCATATAAATGTATAAAACAAAAAAAAATGTAGTTCTCGTTCATTTAAAACAGTCAACAGTGAATAAGGAAAGACCATGTTTTCAATCATGTTTTCCAAAAAGGGGAGTGTGAGGAGCAGAAAAGGGGGCGGGAAGGGCAGGGGAGGCAGCCAATCACACTGCTGTCTCCCGAGAGGAGTCTGTGCAACTGGGGGGGCAGCCAGGCCGGGTATCGGTGGGGGCAGCATTGCGCAGACTCTTGTATGTCGACTGTGGTCTGGATTTTGAGCACGAGGAAGCGTCTGTCGCCACCTGGGGGGCGGGGCGAGCGGCGCTGGTGGCAGAGGGGGCAGGGCTGGCGGCGGGGCGGGCGGCAGAGTGGGCGGCGCTGGTGGCAGAGTGGGCAGGGCTGGCGGCGGTGGGGGCGCCCGGCTCCACGGCAGGCCGCGTGCTTCCCCGGCTGCTCTGCTCCTGGCTGCTCCCCGCTTCCTTTTGCTTTGGCAGCTGCAGGAAATCGGGAAGGACCAGGTGCTCCTTCGTCAACAGCCCCCGCTGGTCGTCGACCTGACAGGACGCTCTGGAGAGGAGATCGAGAAGCCCTTCCACAGGACGGGGGAGCAACATTACTGTGCATCCTCCTAACACACTGAAAATGAGGAATATGACGACAACCTCAGCAGTTTAATATATCCCTGCAATTATGCAGCTTTATGAAAGTAGCTGATTTACTAGATCTTTCCCTGTAACAGAATTTGATAAGTATAAATTAATAAATTTAATGAAAATCCTTTTTTTTCCTTTTCTTACTGGAAGAATTTCTAATTCAGACAGATAGTGACAGACATGTTGGACAATGAAACAAACACCTGGCCTATAGTGTTTGCGGTTTCGCACCCAGTCTTCGCTGACTGCACATTCCATTAATAAGAGCAGAGTGTGAAAGTTTAATTAGCAGAGCAATAGCACAGCTGTACATAAAATATTGCAATCCACACAACATAATGGGAGACTCATCAGAGCTCAGAAGAGGGCAAGTTGTTGGTGCGCGTGGCGCTGGCACACCTGAGACCAGTGATAGTTTGAAGCTTTCCTGGCATTCCCTAGCCCCACTACTTAGTCTAGGTGGGTGCATTACTGCCAAAGACTACTGAACCGCTCTGGAGGACCATGTTCACCCAGTGGTTCAAACTCTGTACCCTGAAGGTGATGCTGTGTATCAGGATGATAATGCACACAGCCTGGTGACAGAGTGGTCTGATGAACATGAAAGTGAAGTTGAGCATCTCCCATGACCTGCACAGTCACCAGATCTGAATATTATTGAGCCACTTTGGGGTATTTTGGAGGAGGGAGTCAGGAAACGTTTTCCTCCACCAGCATCATATACTGACCTGGCCACTGGTTTACAAGAGGAGTGGCTCAGATCCCTCTGGCCGCGGTGCAGGACTTGTATTTGTCACTCAAGATGAACTGATACTGTGTTGACAACAGAAGGAGGCCCAACACCATGCTAATAAATTATTGTGGTCTAAAACTAGGCGATTCAGTTTCATTGTCCAACCCCTATGCATACATACATATATAGAATAAATCACATTTTTGTAATCAATTAGAGGGGACTTTTAGTAATGGGGCTGTCAGTGTTTACCCCAGATCCAGGCACCCCCACTGTCCCTCCACTCTCCTACTTCTGCCCCCAGCATGCATTGCGATTCAGTCACATGACACAAGCCCCAGTAACCTGCATTGCAGGCTCTTCACGTGTCACCTGGGAGTGCCACAGCTCCGTCCCCCCAGCTGTCTGTCACCTACCATCCATGTCATTCTTCTTTACTGCACAATTTTTGGTACTTAAGACTGGATCGCGAGAACTGGGGAGTTTCTCAGCCTCTATGATACCTGCTGGTTTCTCCTGGATTTGAGTTTAGGGAAGAAAAAAAAAAGAAGAAAAAAAAAAAAAGGTTTTAATATTAATCACTGTCTCCACAAAGGTCACGTTTGCTCGTCTCCAGGACGACAGGCGGCCATACCCACCTGCGGGGCTGAAGCTCGCACTCTGGAGGTGGGGACACTGCTCTGGTCTGTTCCTGGGGAGGGAAGGCAGCAGACGCACGTTCAGAAACACACCGCGGAACCCGAGACTGTTAAGGGCAGCTAATGTTCCAGAAAGCACTACTGCACATAAGCACTTAAGCAGCTCTTAGCTCTGTTAAACCATTCGGAGATGCTGAATGTGGTATTAATGAGGTATTAATAAATCAGCTGATCTGGGGCAGATATTGTTCCACCACCGGGGGGCATAACACAGAGGTGGCCGATGCTGCAATCATGGACCTAATGTCACATAAATGGATCATAACTTTTTTTTGTTGAACTCCCCCCCCCCAAATTCTCTCAGAAAACTGCAGAGGATGAGAGGTTACTCGAAAAACAAAGCTTAGAACCAAAAATAAAAGGAGGGCGGGAGGAAGTGAATCACGGGGGTATGGGCACTGCCCTGCCAGTGACGAGTGATTAATCAGCCCCCCCCAGCCACCCCCTAAGCTCCTGTTCAAGACGGGTTGGTCTTCTCACTGCAGACCTCCTGAATCGACAGGCAGAAAACAGAAGAGCCTGGAACTGCGAGCAAAGCGCGACACTGACCGAGAGGCCAGGGGTCTGTGGGGGTGATTATTCACCATGTACTCTGTCCAGCTGCAGCTTCTTGCCGGCCAGAGAGAAGATGTTCATGTTCAGGGTTAGAGGCTCCTTCTTCTCACTCTGGAAGCAGACAGAAAAGTCTACATTTACTTACTTTTCCCCTCCCCGATGCATCTTCAAAACCCCCCCCCCCCCCCCCCCCACATTTGCTTGCCTGCCTAACCAGTGGGACCAGTAATGGATGGGTGATTAATTGGTGCAGCTAAGAGTTTTTTTTTTTTTTTTTTTTTTTTAAAGTTTCAGCTACGGTTCAGAGAATGGCACACAGCTTGAAATGATTCATATTTCAGACCAACTCTTTCCTGCCCTTCTGAGGTCAATACATCCCAGTGAGATGCTGGTCAGTTGAAGTCCCCCGCCTCACCGTGGTAACCACGACGTCCTGAGGCCGGAGATTGTGCTTCTGGAGGACGGAGGACAGCACGTCAAGCAGCGTTTTGCTGGACTTCACCACTATGCCCATGGTCGCCCCAGTGAAGACCACCTCCAGTCTGATACACAAACAGTCTGTGAGCAAAATCAGCAGAGAAGCAGCGTGGTGCTGCTGTGTGTTGGGGGGGCGAGAGCCCACACACTTACGTGATCTTCACCCGTAATTCCAGAGACACTTGCTGATCTTTCAGCACAAAGCTGTCCTGGTCCAGGGACAACGGTTGCTGGGGGGATAAAGAGAAGAAAACGGCCTGTACAATGAGCTCTGGGGGGATTGTGGGTAAAGGTGCCTTACAGCTGGCCGGGGGGGGGGGGGGGTTTGACACATAAGTCCCACCTTGTCCTTCCCCTGTAGATAGATGACGACGTCACTGAGGGCGAAGCCCCTCTTCTCACAGAGACCTGCTAGCATCTCCCGGATCATCAGTCCAGATCGGGCCGGTGCCAGAGAGGCCGTACCGTCTGGTAGGTACACACAGCAGTACTTCTCCGCCCGCGCCGTCTCCCGCGGACTGGAGCTCCCGTTCTGTGGCGAGAAGGTTAGCGAGCTGGGAGCTGCAGGTTCTTACGGCCAGATTGTCAGGAGGAGAATCAAACCCACCGTTACCGCATGCTGACCTGCGGTTTCTTGGCCCGAGAACATGAAGATGTTAACATTGCCACATAAGTTAGATCGGCGCATGCCAATAAACCTGTTTGCATTATTTGACTGCATGACCTGAAGGAGTGAGGAGCGTGTGGTCACATGCCGTTCCTCCGGAAGCAGACGCATGTCACCGTACCCCATCCCGCCAGGCGTGGTCCCTCACCTCGACTTTGCCGTCGGCACTGCCCGTGGATTTGACCGAACACTGGGACTCGTTGCGGGAAACGCGCTCGGACACCTCTGCCGGAGCGGGGGAGGAGAGAGAGAACACGCACTGGGCACACTCCGCGAACCAGCATGCTTGGAAAAGCACAGATCGTCATCCCACGTGTGCAGATTGCAAAACAGCCAGCCCCCGCTGCTGACGCCGTACCTCCCCACGAACCCCTCGTCTCCCCCCTCTTGTCCCGGCCCACCCGGCTCTCCAGGCCCTTCTTCTGGTCCGAGCCGTCCTCCACGTCGAAGGGGAGCGACTTCCGCAGCTTCGCCGCTGCCTTCTTCTGCGGCTGCTGCAGGAAAGCAGACATCGCTGGTTAACGTCAGGCGACCTCTCACATCACACACAGACAGATCGTGTCAGATGTCCTGCATGTTTAGGAAGAGCAGTCATGAACCTGAGAACTGCGTCCTCCAAGATATAACTGAGTTCTCATACCATGCGAGCACCTAGGGTTATTTTCATCAAAACCTTGGTTACAGAAGAATTTATAAAGTATTTAAAAATAAATTAAAACCCAAGAAGGAAAAACTTAGTGATAAAATAACCTACAAAGTAAAATTCTAAATTATCTACAAATTCCAATTCTAATTAAGGTGCACTACATTTTTTACACTACTTTTGTTTATTCAAAAAAAAAAAAAAAGCTGTAAAACTGCCTCTGGTTTAACTTTAGTAAAACATCCTGCAAAGTACTAACTAGAAGAAACATTTACTTAATATAATTAAAAGAGCAACAATACATAAAAACACGTTTCAGTGACAAAGGCCTTTGACATGTGAGCCTGCTATGACCAGTATGACACTGGGATAAAGTGTCAGGTCACAACAGTTTTCAGATCTGATTACGGCTATTTGTAATAACAGGGGTAATTTCATGAACTTTGGTATTAATGCATCCATCCCATTCACTACATATTTTATTACATACCCATAAAGCACAGGTTTGCTGTCACCTATGAAATATATGTCCTGTACATTATCCTATATAATCCTATACCAGGGGTGGGCAATCTTATCCAGAGAGGGTCGGCATGTGTGTGGGGGGGGGGGGGATGAACATCTTCTCTCTGGCCGGCAATGTGCAGCTCCCTAATTTGATTACTAATTAGAGGACTGATTGGCTGAAGAGTCCTCACACCTGGGTTTGGACAGCTGACCTACAGGTTATCCCAAAAACCTGCACACACACCGGCCCTTTGCGGATAAGATTGGCCACCCCTGCACTATACATATTAGTGGTGTAAAAGTATGGTTTTCCCACGGTTCGGTATGTGTCACGGTTTTTGCACCATGGTAATGAAATGGTTTCAGTATCTTTATATTTAAGAAGACAATAAAAAAAAAAACACACATCACCCTTCTAATAAACAATGAACTATTTTTCCATATAACAACTCAACATTCAGAAAAATAGCAGCATGACTAACCAGGCCTAGTTTATGTCTCTCCCTGTAGATGTTTTGTCTATTCTATTACTAATAGAATTTATAGTATGTACAGTAACACACCCACACATACTTTTTCGCAACTATTTTTGGAAGAAAAGATTCAGTATTCCAAAAGCTCTCTATATAGAAAAATAATTCTCTTACACGAACATATATAAAAGTTAAGCATAAGATGTAAAAAGCTACAACTGCCAATCGCAGGACACCAAATGTAGACTGATGCATAATCCATACTACCAACGCCACAACCCAAGAGGGCACAGAATGTTTTTGATGCAGCAGAATCACATAAAGGGGGCAAAAAGAACCTATTGTGGTGAATGGTTAAGCCATTTTAATAAAGACGACATCTCTTAACATAAAATGCTATTAACAGCCACTATCAGTTTAATGCTAGCAGCGGTACAGACAAAGAAGCCAACAGGTTACATGACATCCACCATTACATGCTAACGAAACACATGCATTCCACGGCACGTATCAGTTACGACATTTATAATTAACATAAATACAAATATTAATTTATACTATTTAAAGCTAAACGTGCCAGCTGCTAACCAACTCTACGTCATCACATTATGTCACATAATGTTATATTACATCACACTATGTCAGCCAATCGACAGTGGGTGGGATAACTGGTCATACAACGTCGTATTGCAGGAACAACGTGGACTACGTTTGAAGTATGCAGTCAGCTTTAGCCATTTCCTGTTGAATAATGACAATTGCAGCCCTGGAAAATAAGACATCCCTAGTTTTTTTTTTTTAATAATTTTTTAGGAAAAAAAAATATTCTTAAATTAACTCCAATACGTATAGGAATATAACAGGCATATCGTAATATCGTAGTTCACATGTGCGTATTGAGCCAACAGGAGCGGTTCGGTACTATTCCATGCACCATTACAGCCCTAATAAGTATAGGTCACCTCAGAAGATCCTACAGCCTCACCTCCCTGGATATTTTGAATCCATAGAGCAGCGTACAGGTCAGGGTTGGGGTCATTCTGGAATGTATTCATCAATACCAATCCAAATCAGGAAATGAAACTGGAGCTGGAATTTAAGTCACCCTGAAATCATTCAATTCCAATTCTTTTCCCCATAGATTTTTTTTCTCATTCCCAGCTCCAGCTCCATTTCCTGATTTGGACTGGAATTTATGAATGCATTCCAAAATGGCCCCAATCCTGGTACAGGTTCTGCATTAGGCCTTTTTCACACCTTACCTTTTTGTTGTCGCCAATGGAGCTTCTGTCGAGCGACGCACTCTTAGTGGAACCTGGGTTCTTGGGGTCAGGCAACGACCGGCCTTCGACATCGGCTAGCATGCAGCTCTGATACATTGGACTTCGGACAAAGCGGGTGTAGCTGTCAAACTTCATCAACTTGAAGATCTGAGCAGGAGAGCGACAAAGAAGGTGAGAGGGGAATGCCTGAACTGCAGTCTAGCTATACTTTTAGAACTCCAAAATGAATGGGAACTTCAGAAATTTCAGCTAAAGTTCGAAGCTTTTCAAGACGTCCTTCAAAGTAAAAAATGTAGCAAGCATACTTCTACCACAGTGTTGGATTATAGGGTAGGAGAACCATGATTTCAGAATCTGCAGTGGATGGGATTACTGTGAACTGTCAGTCACTGACTTGCTGGCCACACTGGTTACTTTATTAGCCTCAAATGGACTAATACACTGACAGTTACTGCATGATCTGCAGCAACTCCTCACACTAACTGGAACAACAAAGTAACACCAGTCCCAGGACCTGCTGTTGGGCCTTTTGGAACATGTCTGGTTTGGGGTTTTCCAAGTCTTTGTCATCAATGCGTGCCGTGTCATCGATATTGATGGCATGGAAGGCGTTATTCGAGAGGTACTCGTCGTAGATGGACCGCGCCTCATGCTTCAACTGCAGGAGGGTGAGAAACAACCAACAGTTCAGAATAATTGGAAGGCACCTCTACTGAAGATGCAGCAAATACTGACAGAAACAGAGCAGTGACTCGGGGGTCTTGCATAACTGTTCACAATCAAGAACCGTATGCTACTCAAATTTCCCAGTGAGGACCCCAAGGACCAGAGGGTGAACCTGGTTCCAATTCACCAGAGTTTAATTCTCCTTTAATAATGATTAGGTTACAGTGGACAGCAAAACAACGTAAGCTTCAATAATGTAGGTTCCATAAAAGTAAGGAAAAGGGAATACAGACATCAAGTTTAATACTGAAATTGTGCTATATATAGAAACATACACGTTATTTAACCCAATAGGAACACATCTTACAACAATCACTAATGCACACATTTTTATATTTAAATTGTGTAAAGACTAATTGATGTGACGTGAGATGACTTAAAAAAAAAAAAAAACTAATGAGATCAACTGGGGAAAAAAATAATAATTTTATATTTATATTATATATATAAAAATTCTCACATACACACACCAAAAATTACCATGTACTTGATTTTGTACATGTACAAAATTCAGTGTGTTTTTTGTGTCATCCCCTGTCTGAAGTGCACATACCTCTCCTTTCTGACTGGCTGGAATTTTCTGGAACTTCTCGCATGCCTGCCAGAAGAGGATGTTCTCCGCACTCACCTCAGACATCAAAAACTCCTGAACAGATGTGACATCTAAAATTAGGCCCAATCGATCAGGACACAGTCGGCGCCCCGTTGCATTAATTCCTGCAGCCCTTTCCTGACACCAGGGCTCTGCTATATTATTCACCTTAAAATCCAGTTTATCCAGATCTAACTGCAAAAAGCTGGTACCGCCAATGCAAGTTTGAGCATAACAAGCACCAGAACCTTGCTGGGTTGAGTAATTCACACCATACTCATTTGTTTAATCACAACACATCCCAAAATACCTGACTCACAAGCGCGTCATTCCCCATCCCCAGGGGGATTTCACCCCAGACCCAACCGTTTTTTAGATAATGGACCATTTTAAAAGATATGTACCGTTAAACCCTTCCAGGAGAAATACACCAATCTAATACAGGACAAAACCCACATGAGTTCCAGAGTATGGAGGTCAGGGGTTGACTGACCGTGAAGTATTCAATGCCGGTGGGGTCTTCCAGCAGCCTCTCGAAGCCAACAGCCCAGCTGGCCACTTTGCACACTTGCCGATCCGAGCTTCTACCACGGCCGTCGGGGGCACCCAGGTGGAGGTCTGAGCACCATCCGCACACGTGCACACAAACACGGGACATAAGGAAGTTCACACTTTACTGGCAAGACGACACATGTTGAATCAGCATCTTACAGACAACACAAACAACCTGTGCTGCGAACACAGCCAACATCCCCCCCCGGCTGCCCTCTTTATGCCCTCTGCTCACTGCGATAGGCTCCAGGGGCCTCATTATCAAAGCATGCGTAGAACAATTCCTAAATGTGTGCATATGAAATCGCCAGAATGCACAGGCAAATTGGTATTTATCACTTGTGCATAAGAACAAAGTGAACGTTGTTAAATCTCACATTCTACACATGGCCGAGCACATGGAAGGACTTAATTTCGAGTCATGATTTTAGGTTTGGTTCACTTTTTTTTTTCTCTCTATTTTGTCAACACTCCAGAAATACCATACATCAGCAGGAGATAATCCATCATTTACAGTTTTTACAATATCAGTTATTCTCAAGGACGTGTCATGAAGTCCTACAAAAACAGAATGAGGCCATTTGGCATCAGGCACGTCATTGTGTCTTAGTTAATGCTGGGAGCTTGAAAATGCTTTTCATTTATTTAACAAAAAAAGATTTAAAACTGTTTGCTTTAAATTCAGAACAAAGTTATTCACTGTCAAATCTTAACTAAAAGAATAAGTTCTTACTTTAATTGTGGTTAGCTGTGGTTCTTACAATAATTGTCTGAGAAACTATGAAAATGGCTTTAAAGCTCTGACCTCTAAATTGGTGCAAACAAAAGAACTGACTTTACTATTTTTATAACCAAAATAGCTTTGTGCCATCTTTGCCATGTGAGGATACTTATGCCCGTTGCATTTCCACCATGCAATTGGATCTGCATCCACAGAAACCCTGACAATTCTTCGTCGTGTCTCATGATAAAGTTCGGGAATTACCGTGTTGCCGAAATGTTGGCAGGAGGGAATATTTTACCGCAGCTTGAGTACTTTAATCACATGCTGAAATCCCACATCCTCCACATGGGCATAAGGCTGCATATCTTTAGCTATGAAACATCCCAGTGCTATAGTTATGGCTTCTGCCCTGTCTGACTTTTTTCCTGAGAGGCTGTTTAAAAGCAGCGGAGAGTAGAAGTAGTTCTTTCCTACCAGACTCTCACTTCCTTGTGCTGTCAATTGACACACTGGCATGATGTCTCCGTAGACGAGCTAACATATTGGACGTGTTGCACAGTGCTTGCACACGGTCGCAGTTTTATCCGGCACATTCTTACCACCGTCACCGGAGGTAGCACGAAAACCGAAACGATCCCACGCAGCAGACCGATGCAGCTGGTGCATCCCGAGACTCTGGGCCTCTTTTGTCGCTCGCCATTCCTACGACTGCCTGCATGCTGCACTCTGCCCCTTCACTAGGTTACTGGCGAAAGGTTTTTTGCACATGCGCTGAACTGAACGATACACACGTCCCGAACAAAGACAATCGAACTGAACGGGACAGATTTTTTCCATGAACTGTTCTATCCCTAGTGCAATTGCTTCAGTCACACGTCTCTGCTGCTAGGGGTTTGCGTGTACACGTGGTCGTGAGTAATCACAAACACACACACATTTCCATACACAGGAAGAAACTATGCACGGTTTATACATAAAACTGTTCATATGGACAGTTGGTAAGAGAGACCCCAGGGGTCACTGTGACCCAGGATCAGATAAGCGGTCAGAAGAGCGGCGAATGCATGGAAAGGTGAGCGGACATGAATAAACCATCATCTTTTATCTGACTAACTGCCCATGCAGCATGCCTGTGATTAGCTCAGGCTGATTATATACACATACATACATACATACATACATACATACATACATACATACATACATACATACACACACACACACATGCCCCACACACACACACACAGGCAATATATTATAGACAGGGACATAAAAAAATAAAAATAAAAATAATATAGCACTTTTCGCTCTAGGACATGTATAAAGATGTCAGGTTGCTAAACAAAGCTAGTGAGAGCAGACAGACAGCATGGCCAGGGGTGCAGCTCAGAGCGCAGTGAGAGCAGACAGGCAGCATGGCCAGGGGTGCAGCTCAGAGCGCAGCGAGAGCAGACAGGCAGCACGGCCAGGGGTGCAGCTCAAAGTGCAGCGAGAGCAGACAGACAGCATGGCCAGGGGTGCAGCTCAGAGCGCAGCGAGAGCAGACAGACAGCATGGCCAGGGGTGCAGCTCAGAGCGCAGCGAGAGCAGACAGACAGCATGGCCAGGGGTGCAGCTCAAAGCGCAGCGAGAGCAGACAGACAGCAGACGCCAGATGTCAACCAATGCTTCAGAGACTAAGCACCTAGAGGTGGAGAGATGTGGGTGAGCAGATACCTGGATGTGGCCAATATGTCAAACTTCCCCACCTCTCATTTAGTACAGGACCCGGACCTGCATGAGGTATGCCCCCCCCCCCCCAAAACCTACAGCAACCAATCACACAAGTCGGCGACGGCCACCTTACCTCCATCCGACGAGGCCAGAGTCTGTGATGAGAAGGAGACAAAGAGGAGGGAGAGTTAAAGTAGATGAAGAAGTTCTACAAACCCACAAATACCACCATTTAAAATTTACAAATATCACGGTGGTGTTTTATCTTCCACAACACAGACCACCACAGACTAACATCAACAGTCAACTCCAACCCAGACTGCAGGTCTTAACTTCTCACCCCATAGAGTGCATGGTACCCATTGTTTTTTCCTTTCTTTTTTTGCTGGCCTCGATTCTCAGATAGGAAACTGAAACTAGCCCCAAGTTATGAGTTATATATATATATATTTGAAAGCCCCCAGACACGTGGAATTTATTTTAAACATTATTGCCCTCAATGCAATTACGCATGTTATGATTAGTTTGATTCAACAATGCAGCACTACAGAACGCACATGGCCTTTAATCCAAAGCATGCGTGTTCCCAATAAATACGCCCACAAGAGCCGACCAGGAAGTTGATTTGCTAGCGGGTGCCCGGGAGGACGCATCGACGCTCCTTCCGTACAGCCCATTTCGGATTTGTCACAAGACTCTCTGCAGAGAAGAGAATGACGACGGAAATGAGACCACAGAGCTGACAGCAGTGATGTACTTCAAAAGCAGAGGATGCAGGGCAGTCGGGTCAGGTACCCTCAGCTGGTTTTAACAGGATACGATCGAGGTCCCACCACAGAGTTTCATTCACACTTTAAAGAAAATGAAGCGTGCAGCTGCGGGGGAAATGGGGCTTAATGTCACGCAACAGCAGCTCACAATAAAGTGAGCCTCGCTCCAGGATAACTGGCTGAAGTTTCTGTTCAGAAAGAACAAGTTTCACCTGAACTCCACCCAAACACTGCCCCCCTGACCCAGCCTCCAAATGAGTGCAATGCCATCACACCTAGATGGAGCTTAGGAGTCCTTTTCTCCATCTGCACATGTCGGAGATCAAGCAAACGCTCCCTCCCACTTCCCGGGTAGGAAAAGGCTCTTTTCCCAACATGGATCAGACCCATAGATAGGATCTTTCACACTAAACATGGGCTGGAAAGTCCAGACCGGCCCAGAGGAAAATGATGACAAACCTCAGTGCCTGCAGCCTATCACAGAATCCCCTACTTTAACATGAAAACACCTTCCACAGAAACAAGCTCCTGGAAAGTTTCTGGAAAGGAGGACATCAGGAACACATCAATATAAACATTTCTGTACTTTAGTCCCATGTGTCCATATTACCCACAATAACTGGTGTTTAAATCCCATTGACTTGGAGACTTCGTGTGGGTCCTCATGCTCCTTCAGCAGGAAAGTGATGCCTCTTATAACCATTCACTAATTCCCTCAGAGACTGAGCACCGGAAGGACAGACACACAAGTTATTCACACTGACCATTCTGTCACTTGACCATTCAGTCTCTCCCCCATAACCTTCCCGATAAACCTCACAGACCAAAGTGAATCAATACAAACATCATTTGCAAAAATATATCATGTACAATAGGCTGCCTACCAAGAAAGGTGGGGGGTGGCAAATAATATGTATATATCCTGCTAGAAATAACTTATTCGCATTCATTCTCCATCTGTGATGTAGTAACTTTTTATGTTACTATTTATAGTAAAACTGTGTGAGTGGGGCACGTTTGGTTAGAGTATAACTTTAGATAGTTAGGGTGGGGGCAATATTCAGCCTGGTGATGTCACAGATGGGATATAAGTGGGATATACCCATTCCCTGAAAAGATCCAACACAAAGGCAGAAATTTGACAGGCCACTCGACCAGCCCACATTTGGTCCCCGGTAGTCCAAACCCTTCCCTAAACCCGAGGGATTGAAACCAGATCATACCCTTGAGCGAAGATGGTCGGCGGAATCCGACGTAGCCCATCAGAATTTCTATACCCTGAGCTCTGGAAGCGCTCGTATGCAGCGCACCCTTGACAGCAAGCATGTGACCAAGTCCATAATAAAAAAAAGAAAAAGACTGCAGAAATTAAGTTCCGGCGCGACCTGTGAGGCACCATCTGAGGAAATAGGACTGCATCTCTGCACCGAGCAGCTCGATGATGACATGCTCAGAAAAAACGGTCAGCTCGATCAGCAGCTGCAGCGTAACGAGCAGCCTTGCCTAGTGTCTCACAACACGTCTCTCAGCATCAGCTGCACTGGGAGGGGTCTCTGGTTTGTCGTGATTTCTATCACTCTCTCCTGGCCCAGATTTCAATGCAGTTTCAATGCCAGTGTTTCCCAACCCGGTCCACGGGGACCCAGAGTCAACATTTTTGCTTCCTCCAAGGTCCCTTCCAGACAGTCCATGTGTTTGCTCCTTCCGGGAGCCGGAAGGGAGCAGAAATGTGGACTGTGTGGCAGGGAGCTCAAAGGGATCAAAAACATGGACCGACTGTGGGTCCTCGAGGACCGGATTGGGAAACACTGCCCTAGGCAATATGGGCCGGTGTGAGAGTCGGAACGAGAGCGGGCATAACTTGCAGCTATACTGAAGATGTTGCTCAATATCACCACATCTCTGAATCACACATCCTGTTACACCGAACTCATGAGAGCAGAACTGACAGAGCAGATGTGAAAGATGCTATCAGCTCAGGCCTCTGCCAGCTGTTGAGCACAAGGTCCCAACAAACTTGTCCCCCGATTGACACTCAAAACAGAAGCCAGCTACAGGGATGTCTAAGCATGACAGTCAAGCAGCCATAGAGGCCCAGCATCGAAAGGCCACCCCCTAACCCCCAGCACGCAAAGGTTAGGCATTCTGCTTCTACCTCAGCCATCCCCCTTGGCTGGCAGACAGTTGATGGGCGTAAACCGAGACCTCTCAGCCACATCCGCCAACCCACAACTTCCCCCTGCTGACACACTGGCAACATCTGAGACCCACGACTTTACCAATGAAAGAAGTTATATTAGAAATCAGACCAGAGGAGATTGGTACCAGGCCTGCAAATTAAAAAATACCACCGTCTATCAGCACATGGAACCTTGAGGAAGAGCCAGTTTTGCTGGAACTGCGGCACACTCACTGCTCACCTTGCAAAATGCATGTTTTACCTTATGATCAAATTTAAAAATTGCTTGTTCAATTTCAGAGATGCATAATTTTCAAAGGTGTGAAATGCCATTAGCAAGATTTTCGCATTTTTGATACCAAAAACAAAGACTCAAACCAATTATTTAATCCAGCACTGTCACTGAGCCACTGAAGCATCTGCGTGCTTCATGCGCATGCACGCATTTATACAGTAAAGCTGAATGGGCACTAACATGTACGGTGTCCATGCAAAAAATCAAGTCTCCAAACGTAAAGTATACATGCGACTCATTACAGCAAAGCCGCCTCAGATCGTAAACGCACTGCAAACTGCACTGTAAACCATACAAGCCCCGAGTCCGACGGGTTAGCACCTCCGGCGTTGCCTTCTTGTCCGGAGACCCACGGCCATGTGGACGCGCGGCAGCAAAGCGACTCCGGCTCGCGCTGAACCCAGATGTTACCGGGGGCAAATTAATTAACCATATACCCACCAGAAAGCCAAGTAACTTAACACTCACCATTTGATTCACAGGAAGTCCGAGAGTCTTCGGAGTTTTGGACATGTCCAAAAGTTTAGCCACATCGACGGAATCCAAAAAAAAACGGGCAAAAGCGGGGGGAGCGAGAGCGCTGACAGGTCGCCGGAGAAAGAAACGCCCTGTCTAATTCTCCAGCCTCACGCTGTCAAAACTTTATCTGCACAGGAAGCCTTACCATAGCAACATACCATAAGAGGAAGTGTAGTTACTGTGAGCAAAGCCGTTCTTTTCCTTTTTCTGTTGACGAAAACGTCCGCCTCTTTATTCATACTTTGCTGCTGAAAGGCGGTTCCCGCCTCACCAGAGAATTACTACCTTTGCACGAAGAGACACAACGCAGGCCTGCCTGGTTTATCTGGCGGCGGATGAATGCGCGCCCCTGACTTCTCAAAAAAGCGCGTGCAAAATGCCAGGAGTGACGCTCCGCGAGACGCTTAAGACATGCAAACGGCCCCCGGGCGCTTAAACTTAAGTGAACAGGAAATCACCACATACTGGCTATTGATGGCAACCTTTTCTTGCATCGTTGCTATTGCTTCACCTCCACACGATACCATGGTTTAAGATAGTGACCATCACCGAGTCTGTTTTTTTTCCATTGTAATTTTTATTTTATCTAATGTGTGGCCGGATGTTAATTTAAAACAACAAGACTCACCTTTCTTACCTGTTTGCGGCGGTGGGGAGCCCTCAGAGTGGTAGAGGTGCTGGGCCTCCCACGTTTTGGGCAGGAGAGCGCCTGAGAAAGCAGGTGACTTAAGCTGCCGGAGAATCCCCGAAGGGTGAACACTCGCTATCAAACCAAGAAAACAATGCGGAAAGGTTTTTAAAGAAGTATTTTATTGCTTGCAGTGTGGGATCAATCGAGAGTTAAAATATAACCATACAAGCAAAAGTAGGATCTCGGTGATCAGCTGTTTGAAGGCTTATTGAAACATGTTATGTCTAAAGTCTGATTAGACCAGTATTAGTGGATATTGGAGGCCTGTCGACATCGATTCAAAGTACAATTGCACTACTAACAAAGACGTACCTGGCAGTAAATTCCCTGTAGAAGATGCATTTAATATAGCGCAATATTTTTTGCAAAACTGAAGCCGAATTACTACTGTAATATGACGTAAATGGACATGCCACAGACCGTGACTAGTGCCTTAGTTTCCAAAATAAAAAATCCGCTTTGCCTAGTACTGTAATTAAACAGCTGTAAACAATCAGATTAATTAAAGTGCCGCCTCAATCAGCGAAATGGAAACGGTCCTCTTTCCCATCATTTTTAGTTTTTTGGAAACTAAAGCTGGCAACTGATTTTCGTTGCTCCCCCAATGTCGACGCACAAATCGCGCGGAATATGTATTAAAGGCAAAATGTGGAAGATGGAAGAGTTACTTCCATTGGGTTTTTCTGCTGTAATTTGCGGAATACTTGGATACGGTGGTGGCTGAATTGGTCACCTCCCTGTTATAGTCTTATTTGCGTCTTTTTAGAATCTATGTAGGAAGGGTATTTTACTGTTTACGTGTTTGACCTGTCTCTTAAAATATGAGTTAAGACTAAAGTCCACCTTAAAATCGCTCAGTGTTCAGCTGGATGGTTATTTTCGGATATCAGACTAATTAATTCCTGCCAAGGTTTTTTTTTTTTCTTGTTTAAATAACTTTGTTTTGTTAAACATGTCACCGATCTGGTTTATTGTATAGATGCTCTCTTTTTCCCCGCAGTGACACTGCCAAAAGTCCAGCATAATAAAATACCATTAGAGGACACATTTATTTTACTGTACATTCAGCTTGAATCTCAATGCAAATCAAAGTAACCCCGACGTGGTTTGTGACTGGTGGGTTTGCATGTACTCTGTCAAACAAGGTGAGCATCATAAACGCAAACAGCCAGTCATTGTTAAGCATTGTCGTCAACTCCCACCCCCATGACGTCAGATGGCTTCACAACTTTTATTCCTCCTAGGGTGTTACTTTCCTCGGGAAAAATTTGTCATCATTCCCGTTTTTTTTTTTTTTTAAGACAAGCTTGGACTATGTTAACAGACATTTCCACGGCAGACCAAACTTGATAGGTGAGCTGATAACCAGTTCAGACTAGATCTGTTTATGAGATGTGAGTCTTTGCATAACGTACTGTATGAGATGACAGTCCTGGAGAATGTCTGTGTTATTTTCTCACCTGCACTTTTTTGGTGGGAATCCACTATTAGTGGTTTTTGAATCACAGCATACAATTACAATAAAACGGCTTCACTGGGTTATTGACACCTCTGAGCAAAAAAGGTGAACTGACACATTCACCTTATTGCTAAATAGCATAATTTAATCTGCCTTCAGGTAAATTGGATGTGCCTGTGATGTAGGTTATGAAGCACATGGTTTTACTCATGTGTCAGTCAAGTGGGAGACAAACCCGCAGAGACAAATAGTCCCACTACACAGCAGAGTTTCTGTAATGAGTCATAAAACATCTTGATACTTATTATTCCACTTTGTGGGTGGGTGGGTGGAGTTACGAGTTTATCCGTTATAGCACAGGGTATCCCAAGCCTCGATCTCGGACCGGGGTCACATCTCTCCCATATGAGACAAGACAGGTGCAACATGAAGTGATTGTAAATGTAAAATGAATTGGATTGAATTGAAGTAAGTCAAACTCAACACATAAAGGGCCAGTTTCCCAAACAAGGATTAAGCCTAGTCTTGGACTAAATTGCAGTATCAATGGAGATTCACCATTGAAACTCAAAGCTAGTCTAGGCTTAGGCTTAATCCTTGACTGGGAAACTGGCCAAAAGGGTCAGAAGTTGTACTGCTCTCTGCAACTGCCTGCAGCTCTTCTGCTTGCCAGAGGTCCCACAGACATAGACTACCTGGCCAACAGTTTGCTGACACCCTTATGGTTACTGAGCTCAGCTGTTTCAGGTACACTCATTGCTAACAGGCGCACAAAATCACACACACACCATGCAATCTCCATAGACAAATCCTGGTAGTAGAATGGGTCGTACTGAAGAGCTAGGTGACTTTGTACGTGGCATCCTCACAGGATACCTATGTCGCAGCAAATCAGTTTGTCAATTTACACCCTGTTAGACTTGTCCAGGTCAATCGTTAGTTCTGTCATTGTGAAGTGGAAGCATATAGGAGCAACCACAGCTCAGTCATGAAGCAGTAGGCCACACACAGCATGACCACAGTGCTGAAGCAAGTGGCACATAACAAAGCCCCTTTCCTCAATTGAGACACTAACTCAGGAAGCGCTGTCGGCGTGGGAACTAGGAAGTGGCAGGGGAATGCAGCCTGGGTGACTGCACAGTATCAGATGTAAAGTTTGGTGGAGTGGATATAATGTTCGGGGCTGTTTTTTCATGGTTTGGTCTAAGCCCCTTAGTTCCAGTGAAGGTAATCTTAATTCATCAGCATACTAAAACATTTTAGATAATTGTGTTCTACAAAGTTTGTGGCAACGGTTTGGGGAAGGCCGCTTTCTGTTCCAGCATGAAGTGAGGTCAGTATATCCATGGTTTAATAAGACTGGTGTGGAAGAAATTGACTGGCCTGAACAAAGCCTTGACATCAAGCCCACTGAACACCTTTGAGATTAATTGAAATGCTGGTTGCGAGTAAGGTCTTTCCGTAGAACATCGGTGTCCAACCTCACTAATGTAACTTGGCTGAATGGGCTCGAATTCCTACAACCACTCCAAAATCTAGTGGAAAGCCTTCCCGGAAGACTGGAGGCCAACACACATTAGTGCCCATGGTTCTGGGATGTTCAGCAAGCACATATAATGAGGTGTCCACACGCTTTTGGCCAGGTAGTGTATCTAACCTACGGACATACAGAAAGCAAAAACCTGCATGACGGAACAATGTTGGATTTATTTTCACCATGACTGGTTTTTGTCTGTATTTGCATGATTTGCACTGTCATGCGTCATAACAACAGGGATTGACAAAGGCATTGGTAGACAATTTCATCATTGTGCGAACATCACTGAGTGTACTTATACAAATCTATATGGTATAGCCTATTGGTTTATAGTAAACTTATTAGAATGCACTCTAAAATAACGATAAAAGTACAGTATAGTAAATATATAAACCAGTGACGGTTATTGAACATGTGACTAACACGTAAGTTGTGCTACGACGTTATAACAGCGACGATGTCACTGGCCGATAGAAAATTCTCAGCCCCATTATACTGTAATCTTATGGGACCACCATTGTGTATGCAGTCTGTCGTTGACTGACACATCGTTTTCGGCGCATGACGGCTTCTCCTCGAATCCCCCAAGGCTGTTGCTGCTGACGTTTCCTCCACTACAGCAGTCGTTACTGTTCGGTCTGTCGTTCTGGGAAAGCAGAACTGGATGGTTGCAACTGACCGTTGTCTGCAAGGCTGCCGGATGTTGTGATTATATGATGCAGGAAGTGGAGAGTCTTTATTTCCTGTAGGCAGACCTGTATCCTCCTCTGATAAGTTAACATGTTTGACCTAGTTAATGAGTTGACAGACCTGTTTGATAAAGAGCCAAGCTGCCAAGAAAGTCAAAAACAGTTTTTGCTTTTTGTCATATTTGTTTTGGAATGTATCTGTGTCACACCAAGACCATGCTAAGAGTGGTATGTTTTATTTGTTTCAGTGTGCAATGAATGTGTTTCCAGAACTCTGATGCCTTCTTTTTGGGCTATTCTGTTCTTCCATTTTGTTTTGTCCTGCCTGTGAGATATTCATGCTCGTTCTGCTGTGTACAGACAGGCAGAGATACAGAGGGAGCCAGCCAACTTGTCAGCCAATGTCACATCAATCCCAGATACCAGCTGTCAGATCATAGCTGCCCTAAAACCACAGTTTCTTTGGAGAGAGGAGGATAAAGATGTTTGTGCGAGAGAGAGACGGAGAATGGCTGGTGGTGTGCAGATGGCTCAGTAATCTTCACTGACTTCTTTTCCAGAACCTTTTCCAGCATGAGCCTCTCACTTCCACCTCTCCCAATCCAGACTTGCTGAATGAACTCAAGAAACAAAGTGCAATGGTGAATAAATTAGCATCCACTGGGCCTAGTCGGTGTCTGAGCTGGCGTGTGCACTTTGCAGGGAGGATAGGGTGTGCTGGGAACGCTTCAGTACCTGTGGAATGTGTGGGAAGGTCAGGCACCTGTCTGCAGTGATGTGGCTGAGATGCACAGGTGGCAGGGCTGCTCTGCTGCTGGGACAGAGAATGAGGCGCTCTGGAATTTCCACGGTGATTTCTGAAGTGTCTATTAGTAACGTAACTGCTGGGCACTGGACCAGGAACAAGAGAGCTGCAAGAACCACCCAGCCCCAGGGGACTGGTGTCTTCTACATGCTGTCAGAACTGCATCTACATGCTTAATTATTTATTTGCAGAAGACAGTGCTATGACAACAAGGGTACAGCCACAGGGATAGGCAGAGGTTTCCCAGTGAAATGTACAGCTAGAATCATGTAGCTACTTGGAGTATTTCATGTTATTCAAATCTGAATGGACAATAGGTCCAATCCCATGATTGCTCTGAGGCAAGGCAGACCAGAAATCGTTCCACTTTAATCTGTGTTTATACATGTTAATCATTTACCAATATCCAGAATGTTCTCTGCTACAACATTCCAGTGTACATTAGAAGAATATTTAAAATAGTGCAATAGAATGTGGTATCTCGATTCTCCTCTTCTTGATGACATGATGATTCTTGAACAATTTATATTGATAAAGTGGGTAACCTGGTTACACCTGGAGACACATCTCAGAAGAATCTGAACTGAAGGACTCTTTTTTTTTAGACAGAGAAACGTGTCGAGCTACCCCAGAGCAAACTGAGAGGGGTACAGACGCAGTCAGTCAATTGATCATATTCATGAGAACGACGCTGACTGTCCCCGGTGCTGACTTCTCCTGGCGCTCTGAATCATGGGAGTGGCATTTAATAGGACAAATGCTTCACTACTGTTTTCTATTGTCTGCCTCTCAAAAGCTGTCGGCAAAGGCATGAGCAATAGTGTCAGTCCACAGGTAGAATTCAGAGCGGGATTCAAAACATGCAATGGTCTGTCAGCTCTCCAAAAACGTGGCGCTAAAAATATAAGCAAACCAAATGTTATAATGAGCTAAAACAACTCATTCCACCATAGGAGAAAAGGAAACTTTTTTATCGATGCTTGGCAATTTCACGTAGGTGAAAATATGACACATGAAGGTACCCTCATCTCTGCCCTGTGGTTTAAAAATGGCACATGACCCTGGGGTCAAACTGACCCCAAAAGCACATGGCGGGTGACTTCTCATAGTAACATAATTATTGTAGGAGCGTGTAAGAGCTAAGGGAATTATGGGACTGAGCATTTTCATTCCAGGGCTTTTAGTTGTTATTTTGATGGTCTGGAAACCCAGTGGGTGTCCTTCATACACACTCAAGCCCATCACATGCGGCCGCTGTTTTTATTCTGCTATTTGTCATTTAATTTGCTGTCATGCACTTTTTTTACATATATTTTGTGGTAGATATTATAGACAAGATACCAGCATTTACTTCTTTCTGCCCAGGATGTACCCCAGCCATGTGCCCTGTGCTGCAATGGCTGAATGCTGACAGATTGCCTGCTGTCACCTAGTGGTGACAGATAATATAACACATGCTGTAAGATTGTTTTCTGCTGATGGGTACTTGACATTTGTGAAAGAATGGGTCATTCTGAAGAGCTCAGTGAATTTAAGTGTGTTTCTGTCATAGGGTTCCACCTTTGCAAGTCAGTTTGTGAAATTTCTTCCCTGCTAGATATTCTACAGTCAACTGTAAGTGGTATTACTGCAAAGTGGAAGCGTTTAGGGACAACAGAAACTCAGCCATGAAGTGGCAGACCACGTAAAGTAACAGAGCGGGGTCGCCGAGTGCTGAGGTGCAAGATGCATAAAAGTCGCCAACACTCTGTTGACTCAATAACTGCAGAATTCCTCTGGCATTAACCCCAGCACAAAAACTGCACTGGGAGCTTCATGGAATTGGCTTCCATGGCCGAGCCTCACATCACCAACCTCAATGCCAAGCATCGGATGGAGAGGTGTAAGAAACACCACCGCTGGACTTTGGATGAAGTACGCATCTCTGTCTGGCGGTCTGATGGACGTGTCTGGGTTTGGCAGATGCCAGGAAATCATTACCAGCCTGACTGCATTGTGCCAGCCGTAATGTTTGGTGGAAGGGGGATTATGGTGTGGGGTTGTTGTTCAGGGATTGGGCTTGGCCTCTTAGTTCTAGTAAAAGGAAAACAAGGTCAATAAACACATGATTGGGTGATTTTTGGTGTGGAGGAATTTGACTGGCCTGCACAGAGCCCTAGAATGGAGACTGCAAGTCCAACGTCAGTGCCTGACCTCACAAAGACTCTTCTGAATGAATGGGCAAAAATTCCCATAGAAACACTCCATAAACTTGTGGAAATCCTTCCCAGAAGAGTGGCAGCTGTTACAGCTGCAAAGCAGGGACCAACTCCATATTATTGCCTGTGGATTTAGAATGGGGTGTCATAAAAGTTCCTGTAGGTGTAATGGACAGATGTCTCAATATTTTTGTCCATAGAGTGTATATGGGGTTGACCCTAGACAGGGGCCAATCTGTTGCAGAGCATATAATTACACAGGCAATAATATGGAGTTGCTCCCTGCTTTGCAGCTGTAACATACTCAATGGGCAAGAATCTGAGTCTGATTTAGAGATATCAGCTACTCTAACTGTCTGTCTGTGGACTGTGGGCAGAGACTGGAGTACCTGAAGGAACCCGTGTGGCATGAGGAGAACCTGCAAAGCAATCAGTGATTGAAAGTGTACAACAATCTTCAGCCTGATCGACGAATAAATCAATCCTCTGAGCCAATTGTAGCTGCAAGCCAAAGTGCAAAAGCATTTTATATTTAAATCCGGCGGGGGTGTTTCCATTCAGTTCCCAAAATATTAATCAAAGCAAAGATTATTACTTTCTGCCAGGATAATAATAATAATAAATACAAACTCCTTCAAGTTATCCTACAAAATTTAAAAAAATTGTCTTCCTGTCTTACTTCCTGTATCTTTGGAAAGGATGATTTGTTTGGGGGAAAAAAGCCTTTTATATGGTTTGATGAAGGATCTCGTTTTCTCTTTCTTTACTTTGTTCCTACACAAAATATATTACTCATAAACAGGAGCTGGAGGAGGTACCTGGGGAGAGGGAGGTCTGGGCATCTCTGCTCAGACTGCTGCCAATGTGACCTGGACCTGGATGCGTGGTGCACAGTGGAATTTGCAAGGACACCTTTATTGGTCAGAGAGTTTTTAAAGACGCAGCGTCCTCTAGTGGACAAAAGGTAGCACAGGAACGATTGTCCCCAGCGTCACTGCTGGGATGTAGATGTGATCCCCTAACATAACATGTAACATATTATCTCAGCTATGTGTCCTGGACAGAAATGGGAAATGCACACATGAACTCACAACGGTCACGTCAGCTCCTCCAGTCCCTACATCCACTGATCCATACTGAGAAGAAGGCAATTTAACATGAAATGAGATGGCATTCTAGAGAACACGTTAGCATTAACTTAAAACACCAAAAGAGTAGCTGAAAACAGAATGACATTTTGGAGAAAGCCATTAACGTGAACAAAAAAGTAATTTTTCAAAGATTTTAATAACAAACACATTTACAGCAAATATAACAGCAATACCGGATAACGCATTTTAAACTTTTTTCCTAAAAATGGACATGGTACGTTTGATTAAATAATCTGCTCTTGCTGTTGATTGGGTAAGCTGCATGTCAATCATTGTTCTGCGAAAGTAGGAAGAGGTGGGACTTAACTGTGGACGAAAGCTAAAAAATTAGAATCTGAACTTTTCCGATCAGTAATGTTTACAATGTATGAAACAGAAATATCTTTTGAATGTGTAGTGTTTTTAGGTGATATCTAAGTGTTCTTTGTAGTGGTATTGTGTTTGCGAATCTGTTCGTTTTAGTTCAGTAATGTTTTGGCTTGGTGAAAACTGTGCTGAGCGCACTGCGTCCAGGACCCTGAACTCCAGGCCATTCTGGTTTGGGGCATGGAAATGAGCACATGAGTCTTGGTTTCAGACATCAGCAATACCACAGGTTATGCACATGATTTGCATGAAAACCTCTCTCTCTCGGATGGTGGTCAATTCCAGGCACAAAGATCTCACTGTTCATTCTTGGTTAAGACTTTTATCTCACGTGGTGTCCATCTTCTGCACAGACAAGCCTAAGGACAGTAAAGGTGATCATTTATTTGAATTTGTGTGTATAGATAATGTAAATGCACTATCTATATGGGATGTAATATGGGTTAAGTGATTGTTCTTTTGTATGAGTTATGTGACTTTCAGGTTTAAGTTTACAAAGCATTTCTGCATTGGAGTCCAGGTAGGGTGATAAGGCTGGTTTTGCAGGCTAGATGGTCCCGATGTGCATTGACTTTACTGTCTAGACCAGGGGTCACCAACATGGTGCCCATGGGCACCAGGATGCCCCCAAGGACCACATGAGTCACCCGCGGACCTGTTCTAAAAATAAACTCGTCAGTGAGCAGCGTCTAAAATTAAATTTTATCCTGTTGCTATTCTTCTTTAATCAAATTTGCTTTCATATAGATTTGAAAATGACAATATCTTAAAAAAAAAATGCATTTAAAACATGTTTATTATATATGAAGTTTAGGACGACAAACTGGCAGCCCTTCATATGGCTCAGTACCCGTGAAGTAGCTTTCAAAAAGGTTGGTGACCCCTGGTCTAGATGCTCTCGGACAGTGCACTTTGTTCAAGCTCGGTGACAGCAAACAGGATTTTTAATACATCTCAAAACCATGAACCTCACGCCTACCTTAATGTGAAGCCCGCAGTCGCTGGACTTCACGTCGGTTGATTTTTCTCCACTTTTAACATGCAAAAATGCTAACTAAAGTGGTCAAATTCAGCAATGGGAGATACTGAAAGAAATCTTTGGAGAAAACATGCAAACCCTAACTTCTTATTTTTTTCTTGAAATTGTAAATCATTTAAAAAATGATTTGTGATGTACAGAGCAGACTTGACATATCTTGTGAACACCAGTATTACTTGCTTGTCCATAAGTGCATCAGTCTTTTGTAGCTCTTTATCCAATACAGGGTTGCAGAGATCCTGGGACCTAACCAATATAACAAGGGGCAAAAGGCAGGCTATAGCCAAATACTTATTTTTACAAAGGTATAAACTGCAACCCAGTCTTCATTCCATAAAATTTTGGCACTGTCCATGAAATAAATTAAACACAAATGCTATTAACTGAAAACCAGTCATTATCGAAGTATATTATGCAATGTCTGACCACAGCACACCAAGGCACAGTAGAGAACATGATGACCGTAACATAGATGCATGCCGATCAAGACAGCTAAAGTGCCTTGGGACATTTAAAGAAGAAAACAAATCAATTACCTGTTAAAAAGGCAAAGTATCATCCTTTTTTTAGAAGCATGATCGCTTGTTGCAATTTATCTCTCCCAAGAGTAAAAAAGAAGTGTTAAATGTATGGTAGTGATATTAATTAACGCACCACTAATCTACAGTCTTCTGATTAGATCAGTACTTTCAGTTTCTTCCCCTGATTTGATCCTGCGTCAGAGAGCAGCCTTTGCTGATGGTGAATTCGAGTTTCTAATTTTAAGTCTAATTGTCTTATTTAGTGTAAGGAAGGTAGCTAAGTGGGTGGGCAGACCCAGGGCTGGATTGGCTATCTGGCAAACTTGGCATTTTCCAGGTGAGTCGATGGGGCTGTGGGCTGGCAAAATGTATAGTGGGGACCCCTCCCCCCACCCCATATGGGCCTGCATGGTTAAAAACCCAGGGCTGATGGTTAATCCCAGTCCAGCGTAGCAGAGAGCTGTAGGTAACGTGAAGTTCAGCATAGTAAAAGATGAAGAATAATTTTTTTGAATGGTACATTGTAGGGAACGGCAGGTGCGGACCGGCTATCGGGAAGTTCAGCAAATTTCCCGGTGGCCCGGTCCAATGAGGCCTAGTCCGCCCCTGCTGAACGGTCTCCAGATCTCAATGGTATTGCCAAATTATAATATCATTGTTTGTCACCAGATAATTTTCCGACATATTAACATCTTTCAATTTCCATTCATATCTCTTAACACCATAGAAACCACTGCCATTATTACGACATAATGCACTCTCGTTTGTTCTAAAGTATTTAAATGAATTGTAGTTATGCTAGGATGATGATGACTTAATGCAATTTCTGATTATAATAGCGGATTCATTTTTATTGCGATGTGGAGATCATAGTGTCACTGCCAAGAATACTTACACTCAGAGCACCTTTGTTGTGAGACTCAAGGGGAAAGCTGTTGAATTTAACCTTTAAAATGAGGGCAATTTCTGTTAGACTTTCTGTAAGTTTCATTAAACAGTGAGATGCTGGCATGCAAACAGACACACAAGTTGAGACAGAGTGTAGTATCCCAGGCTGAACCTAAACACCCATCTGACGCCTTCCCTGTTTGTGTTCTGCCAGATTGCACTCATAAACCATGCTGACCTGGCTGAGTGCTGCCATCTTCCTTTTCAGTAAGTGTCGTGAATCCGGTGATGCTGCTTCTCAGATATGCAGCCAAGTTTTATATATCCGGAGAGCGCCTAGCTTCTCCGCAGATGCTGAAACAATTCTGAGTTTCTCTGCAATGTAAGGACTGCAAGGCACATTCTTCCATCTATTTTCAATCACTCTGTATCCAGTGCATCTTTATGTGTGTGCTTGTTCTCCCGTGCTGTGTGTTTGTGTGTGTGTGTGTGTGTGTGCATGTTCTCCCCCTGTTGTGTGTGTGTGTGTGGGTTTGCATAGATCACATTTGAGGACCAAATTGTCCCCAAAATGTAGTAAAACCTGAAATTTCCCTACTTTTGGGGACATCTTTTGAGGTTGTCAAAGACCCTAAGTCCTTATAGATTCACCTTCTGGAACATTCATCACTGGTTGCAGAAGGTTAAAGAAAACACAGACCATGCTCATCCCTGTCCTTCATTACCACAGATTTCTCCGTGTCCCAGAAAATCAGGACCACCAGCTTGTTGGTTGGCCGGAGCACCAACCTAAGCTGTTACTCTACGGAGCACCCAGAGCCCACGGTGTTTAGATGCTACAAAAATGACAACTTTACCAGCCAGCTGTCACTGCACAATGTCAACCAATCCATTGGTGGGAATTACTGCTGTACATATGAGAATATATGTGGAAATCATTCATCAGAATGTGTACAAATCAACATAAGTAAGATCTGCACTTTTCTTTGAATTTATTTGCTTGTGTGTGTGTGTGTGTATATATATATATGTGTGTGTGTGCATGCATGTTCTCCCCTTGCTGTGTGTGTGTGTGCATGCATGTTCTCCCCTTGCTGTGTGTGTATGTGTGCACGTTCTCCCCTTGCTGTGTGTGTGTGTGCACATTCTCCCCTTGCTGTGTGTGTGTGTGTGTGCATGTTCTCCCCTTGCTGTGTGTGTGTGTGTGCATGTTCTCCCCTTGCTGTGTGTGTGTCTGCATGTTCTCCCCTTGCTGTGTGTGTGTCTGCATGTTCTCCCCTTGCTGTGTGTGTGTCTGCATGTTCTCCCCTTGCTGTGTGTGTGT